AGAGAGGAGTTTCAGCTTCTGCATTCTAATGTTTGGGGTGTATCTGGATACACGAGCGTGACTGAACTGATAAAGAATGTTTTTATAGGAATGCAAGAATCCTTGTTGTGATGCATCGACGTGCCGTCTTACTGAAGGATCCCAATGTGCCCATGGACTCTGCTGCGACAACTGCCAGGTAAATCCTGCTAACACGATGTGCATTTGTAAACAGGTCTCTTATTATAATCAGCTGAAAAACACAGAGTTAGACCATGTTTCATAAACCTGAGGTTGATCTGTTAGCATGTTAGCATCTCTGTGAGGCAGCATGGACGTGCTCTCAGCTTAATACTACAATTCTACAATTCACTTAGCAGATTCTTTTATCCAAAGCGACGTACATCAGAGAGTAAGAACAACACAAGCAAGGATCTAGAAAAAAGGGAACAATGTGAGTAAGAGCAAACGATCAGCTTTGAGTCTGATTGGACACACAGGTGCTGACAGGAAGTGACCAGAGGCAAAGCACAACATTGAGGGCAGTTCTTGAGAGCTCTAATCAGAATAGAAACCATCTTATAAGTCGTCGTTATCAAACAAAAACCATCGTCACAACCATCATCATCATCAATAATATGGAGACCATCATCATTAAGTTAGTAGGTATTCATGAAAGAGCTGGCTCTTTAGCTTTTTCTTAAAGGTGCAGAGTTACTCTGCAGATCACATGGAGTTTGGAAGTTCATTCCACCACCGGGGGGCGACAGAGGAGACCCTGACCCTGTTGTGAACGTTGGATCGGACGCCTTCCATTGGCAGAGCGTAGTACTCATGTTAGCATGCTATCATGATCACATCGTGCTAAACTGCTGCTGATTAGCAAGTCACATGTTTACCACGTTCACCATCTTAGTTCAGAGTGTTAGCTTATAATTGCTGATGTTGGGGTTGTATCAAGTCAACTTTGGTTATATTCTTTAATAATTATATTTAATTATTAATAATATAAATAAAATATCATTAAACTATGTTTAATCTCGTTTTGGGGCACCATCCTGTACTCAGGGAAATATAACCAAAATATCACTCAAATCAGTCTCAAATTAGTTATTTAATTATTAATATTATTAATAATTAATAACTATATTTAATAAATTGAAGGCATGAAATCCGTACACAAAGCCTTCGCACTCAGCTTATATCACAATGTAAATACACCAGTAATTACAAACAACTGCTCTCTTAAAATTATAACAGAATTTATTTAAACAAAACAACATCAATCCAAAATCAATGAATTTAATCAAACAAATAACTCTTATAAACTAATCTAAGCAAACATTATCAAGCAGGGCTTGTGGATGAGGTGTGTGTGTGTGTGTGTGTGTGTGTGCGTGCGTGCCTGCGTGCGTGCGTGTGTGATGGTGGAGAGAAGGAGAGAGGAAGCCGTGTGGTTACCTTTTGAAATAGTTGGTTAGATCGTCACTCTGTTGAATGTTAAATCAACAGATTCAGGCAGGTTTCCTTTGTGGCAGATGTAGGAGGAGGGTAGCGGGATTCAGATCTTCGACCAGAGCGCTGCTCTATAGGGTGTTCTGGTTGCAGGAGCCGAGTTCTTTATGTGTCCTTGTGGATTCAGGGATCAGTGGGCTTCCTTCAGCGCTCCTGTCCAGTTGCGTTCAATGACGTCTTACGAAAAATCACAGGAAAGAAACTATTTTTTTTGCTCGAACCTGATAGCATCTGATTGCGCCGTGGAAGTAGTCAGCTGAATCCTCTGATGTTTGAATTCAGCATGTGAAGAGCTACCTATACTGAGCAACCTCAGCTCTGGAGTTTAACCTACGTAAGCCAAGAGGAGGAAAGGCTTTGTCTTGAATGCTGGAGTCCATCATATGGAGAGTTTATCCTCGGGTGTCAGCAGACAACACTTGAAGAGAAGGAGCTGCCTGTGGGTTTACCTCAGGCCTCCTCCAATGAGGATAGAGAATTCAGACACCCCCCCACTTTTCACACCTATTTGTTAGTTTCTGTTGGGGGGTTTTTCCTTTGTTTAGTTGCCTCCAAAATAACTCTAGTCAGGCTTGAGAACTGTGATACAGGCCTGAGTTCTCTGTCCAGCACACATGGCTGAGGCCCAACACTGATTAGCACTAAAGAGGAAGTAAAGAAGATGAGGTCATTGGTTTTGGTCATCACAGTCTCAGACCAAATGTTTCTCCGGGGCGACATGAACGACTGAACAGAATCTGATAGCAACACATGTGTGGCTGGAAGAAGTTGACCTCTGGCAGCAAGAGTCTCCTGATTTTCTGCACTAAATGAATTTGATCCATTGAATGACATCCAATCAAAGAGTTGTTGTTCTCAAAGAATTAGGGTGGTAAAACTGTAAATTAAAGGGATCATTAAACACATAAGGAGTCATTCTCTGTGGTCTCTGTTATCTAGACATTGGTGCCAATTTGCCATATTCATTTGTTATGAGATTTCAGCCTGAATATGTGAAAACTTTGCACAAGAGAAACATTTAGGAGAAGACCAAAGTCAGTGGGATTTATGCTCTGGAAGCACGAAAGTCTGCAACACATTTCATGACTAAATGTGTAAAGACACTCAGGAGGAAAAGTGTGAAATTACCAGGGTCAAGTGAAGGATTCATCCTCTGAGATATGAATGTCTTAATAAACTTCTGTACCAGTCCATACTGAGAAAAAGTCTGATGTTCCTCAAAGACAGTAGGATTTATCCTAGATGAATCCATTAATCCAGCAGCTGTTCATACAGGATCAAACCGGGGGACGGCCGTTCTGACACACCAACTTTACACTGAGCACAGTAACAAAAAACTCAAAAATACAATCCAGTGAGTGCAGGCAGCAGACAGGCTTCATCATGCAGACACACCCTGCTGCTGGATTATCACTGTGGGCATTAAAAAATGGCTCCAGGAGAAGGTTAGTCTCCGATCCACAGCCAAACAGCAGCAGCTCAATAATAACAGGAAGCAGAAGGCGATATGCTGCTGCCTCCATGTAACTCACCACATCTTTCCTCTAATGACAATTCCAAAGAGGTGGAGCAAGACATGAAACACAACTCAAACACACAAGATAATTATAGAACCATAGACTTTTTATTCACATGAAATCCTCTTAAAGGCTCTATATGTGATTTTTCACACTGAAATGTAATAGAAATCAAGTATATCTTCTGAAAATAACAGTTCTTGAGAGCTCTAATCAGTATAGAAACCATCTTATAAGTCGTCGTTATCAAACAAAAACCATCGTAACTACCATCATCATCATCAATAATATCGAAACCATCATCATTAAGTTAGTAGGTATTCATGAAAGAGCTGGGTCTTTAGCTTTTTCTTAAAGGTGCAGAGGGATTCTTTGCTTATTAAACTTGGGGTTGATGTTGCACTCACTGACCTTCATTTATTCCTTTGTTTTGCTCCGGCTACCTTCTGAACAGATCCTTTAATTAACACTGGTCTGTCTATGCTTGTTGACTTTGGTGAGCCTGGGCTGTCCTCGTGAGCTAAAGTGCGTCAGGCTATCATCCAGGAGGTCCAGCAGCAGCGCTCCTCATACAAACACTTTCAGTGAAGAGGGCCTTACAGACTCTCTTTCACACAGATTTGTCCTCAGGGCTCAAAAGGGTTTGTTGTTTGAATACTTTACAAGTGATGTTCATCATTAACAGTGTGTCATTGGTTTGAGATGTTTAATCAAGTTTTAGACTGTAAAATGATCAAATTTATCATGGAAGCTAGACTCATAGTGGATGGGATGTATTTTATGAAAAGCTGTGATTTATCGGACAAACATTAAATGATGGTAATCAACAGATGCTTTTCAGCAGCACTAGTTCAGTTTTGCCACAAGGCTTGAATAAACATGAATTAATGAGATACAATTAAAGGTTTATTATGTAAGATTCGGAGGAGCCTGCAGGCAGAGGTTGAGCCAGGCTAGCTATCTCCCACTGTTTCCAATCGTTGTGCTAAGCTAAGCTAACTGGCTTCTCGTTAAGTTGTTTCATCTGCTTTCCTCAGAGTATTCACTGTGTTCATATGTTTAAAGTCTTTATATGTGATTTTTCACACTTAAATGTAGAAATCAAGTCTATCCTCTGAAAATAACTCTGTGAGTCATGACTGTCTACAATGGGTGTAACACCCGAGTCCCACTGTCTGTGATGTTTTCAGAGTTTTCAGAGTCCTATCTTCACTTTGTTTACATCGCCAGGACGGCCGGCTGACTCCTCCCCTCATGTATAAAAGTTGTTTAATTGAGGGACTAGAGAAAAGAAGAATAACATACTGTACTCACTGCTTAACTGTGTTTCTAGATCACGCTCATTTTCAGGTACATTTACATGCAGTGTGAAGATACCAACATAATAAAGATCGCTAGCATTAGCATGCTAACACAACAATGCAGCGTGAGTTGTTTTGGTTTCATGCTGGTGCTCAAAGGCGACGTCTGCTGGATGAAAAAAATTGCATATAAATCCTCTTAAATGTGCTTTTAATCCACAGTTTGCAGTGTCTGGAAGCGTGTGCAGGAAGACGTCGAGAGACTGCGACTTGCCTGAATACTGCACGGGAGTGTCGCAGGATTGTCCCGAAGACAGATTCGAGATGAACGGCAAGCCGTGCTACGACCAGGCGCAGGGCTACTGCTACGACGGCCGGTGTCCCACGTATGAGCAGCACTGCTGGAGGCTGTTTGGACAAGGTACACTTCACATGCTGCAGGTTTAAAATATATGAAATTTCCAAAGTGCTGTCTCTGTTTGAGTCCTCAGTTTATCTTTGTTTGTCTCATAAGTCTCCCTGCCTCCAATCTCTCCTACAGCCCTGCAACCCTTCAGAGCTCTCAAGTGGGTCTTTAGACACCCTGCCCAATAGACCCCCCCCCCTCCTTTAGCCTGAAGTCCTCCTCCACAGCCCGCATCCTAAGTTTAAGGTCAAGCCTGACACTCGGGTCGTTCAGTGTGTGCACATTATTCATGAACTCTGGTCGTGCATCGTAAATGATTCAGTGTGAGCTGACATTCCTTCACGACCTTCAAACAATCATTCAGTGTGTGGCGGTCTGCGGGACGCCCATGATTACTAGATTATTGCTTTTTCCTTTCATGACAGATTTTTCTGGTTTCCATATTAGCTGATATTGTGACAACAGACTCAAAAAGTAATAAGAACCAAAACTTTCTTTAAATTTTGCTCTTTTTTTAAAACTGCTGATTTTTTGAAGTGTATTTTTAACGCGCTGCTGTTTCTTATCTGTGATTGTCTCTTCTTCTTCAGGGAGCAGAGTTGGACCGGATATGTGTTTTGACCTGAACAAACGAGGCGAGGAAGGTGCTAACTGTGGGAGGAGCAGAACAGGCTACGTCTCCTGTGCTAGACCGTATGTATCATCCAAATATATAAACCACTTAGGCTGCCTTGTCTGCATAGTGTTTTTTCACGGGCAGAAAAGTGCTAGCTGTAGGCCTACGCTCGGGAGTGTTAGCATGTGCGCTAAGAAGAAAGCGCTGCACTTCTGTCCTGTCTCCATGGCAACAGTCTGTTGACAACAACCGCTGTATGACCGAAACTGCTGTTACTTTTTACTGCATGTTTTATATTTGAGATCGTTTATTTCCCGATCAGACAAGATGAAAAAAGTGTACTCAAACTCAAAGTTCTTCTTCCGTTTGTTTCTCTTGTAGGAATCTTAAGTGTGGATCTATGTTTTGTGTCGGAGGCGGGGACTCCATCACGGGTAAAAGAGCTTCTTACACCATTTACGGCCTCGAGTGTAAAGTAGCCGTGGACGACGACAAAACCAGAAACATGGACATGGTGCCAGAAGGAACCAAATGTGGACCAAATAAGGTAAAAACATTAAGCAGGGAGATGGATTGTGTGAAGTTCAGTTGTTTCTGTTGGATGTTTTTGCTCATGATCAAACACGTTTGTTCTCAGGTTTGCTCAGACAACAGATGTGTGGATGTGTCCGTCTACGGCAAGAGGGAGGACTGTGCGAAGAAATGCAACAACAACGGGGTGAGAGACTTATGGAAGATAAACACTCTGAGCTGTTTTCATTGAGATTCTTCTGCACAAATGTTCTGGATTCTTTGTCTCAGTGTGTGTTGTTGAATTGTCCTTGTAGGTGTGTAATCACAAGGAGGAGTGCAGCTGTGACCCCGGCTGGGCGCCGCCGTACTGCGACATCCAGTATGCAGATTTACCTCAAGGTACAGGACGCTTCTCTTTAGGAGGGATTTGAAATGTATGAGCAGGTTTTATGAAGGTCAGGAAAAGAAACCAGGTCACAGCTGCTGGTTGAATCATTCTTCCAGTAAGAAACATGAATGATTCATCAAGACTTGATCTCATGTTTCTTCCAGCGCTGACCTCATCCAGAGCTCCTGCTAGATCTTAAAAGTGACCTCAGCCAAACCCTTTTTACTTAGGACGTTTTCACCCTGCCCGGACACGACTGCCCCCTCCCCCCCTCTCCCTCGCTGGTCTGCGTTCTCATTAGTAACATCGTCCTGTACCTGAGCACTCTTCCATATGTTCACAGTCCGATACAGCAGGTGACAGTATGCACACAGTTTGTTTACAAATCCACCAAAAAGCAGAAAAAGGAACAAGTAACCACGGCAACCACTTGCGAGCTGAGTCCTTCCCGCTAACTATGGATGTTTTTGTTATTTCTAAGATGCCAACAACGACTCCTCTTCCTCCTTCCTCATCCAACATGTAGCTAAGAGGATGAACCGGTCCCGGGATATGACGATTTCTGAAGCGACAGAAGCCAATCAGAATGATGTCATATATCGCTCTTCTCCCTTGTTCGGGCACGGTCGTGTTCACATCTCACACGGCCCGTACTCGAGTACACGTGCATCGTGGCCGAGAGAGACCCCGTCTTCAAGAGGACTCGAGCACGGTACCTGAGTACAGCACGTCTGTGATCAAATGAGCGAGAGTTTGGGGTCAGGCGTACTCTGATCCGGGCCGGGGTCCCTAAAGTGAAACCAACCTTAAAGAACATTTAAGTTAACCCACCCTGAATATCAACTTTAAAAAACAACAGAGAAGAGAGAAGCTGCAGCACAAAATTGAAAAGAATGCCAAGTGGTTGTTGAGCAACTGTTCAGAGTAAACAGCTGAATTACAAACAAAGAGGAAGAAGAGACTTCAAACCACCAGAGCGGCCAACTTTGTTGTGAAATTCCTCAGAACAGGGAGTCTTTTCTCAGCAGAAAAAAACCCAACCCTAAACTTGTGAAATCTGAGAATCTTTTTGTTTGTGCGTTTTACCAAATAATGAAAACAACAACAATGTTAATCACCATCTTAGTTTAGCATGTTAGCTTGCAAAGTGGGAATATCAGGAGTGTTTCCTTTTGCTTTTATTGATAGAAAAGTCGACGAGAGACTGGAACTATGAGGAGGAGAGAGAGGGACAGACATGCAGGAGGGCAGCAGTCCAACCTTCAGCTGAGACGACTTTGTGTCTGAGCGTAACTGGTGCCACATTGATTTTAGACCTGATGAGAAGTTACAGGCTCATTAAAAGTAATAACAGTGGATCCTCTAAGGACGTGTAACGTCTGCAGCAGAGTTTATGGAAATCCATGACATGGTGTTTGAGGCATTTCAGTGAAAGCCACAGGAGTGGACTGAATCAGCCACATTTTTATACTTATAAAAAACCACAGCAGGCGAGGTAAACGATGAGCTCAGATAATGAAAGACGAGCATATAAATAAACATGAATGCAGTAAATCAAGACGAGATCAAAAAGGTCATGAACAACAAAAGGGTTTAGTGTTTAAAAATGAAGCTCTTAAATTCCCCCTTGTGTGTGTCTGCAGGCCAGAGTGTGATCATCGCTGGTGTGTGTGCGGTGCTCTCCGTCCTCCTGCTGATCACGGCTGTGATCGTGGGGCTGATGTGCTGCAAGAAGGACAAACAGGAAAACTACATCTGCAAAAGGTAGCGTGTCCTCCTCCTTGAAGCTCTTGGTGGTCCGTTGTGCGCCTGCTGGTTTCAGACTCTCACTCGTCTCGTCACTTACAGGAAGGTGCACTCGGCCCCGGGGAAGTTGAACCCGATGTTCCAGGAGCCGAGTGTGAAAGACAGACCTCAGATCAGCCTGCCCACCTTCATGGACTCCACGGCAACACACGTGTGCACTCCTCTGATGGTCACTGTGAGTCCCTGCAGACCGGCTCCACAGGTACAGAGAGATAGAGTGTGTGTGTGTGTGTGTGTGTGGGTTACAGATCCACAACTTCAAATACAAAGTGCTGTTATAGTTATGGTGTTTTTCTGTTTCACAGCCACCAAAGAAACCGTCTGCAGCGTTGTCGACCTCGCAGGCCGAGCCGGTAAGCTTTAAAAAAACATGAAGATGAGATGTGATGTAATGATTTATTCAAGATGAGGATCACATTCAGAGTTGGAGACTTCAGTTCTGAAGCCAACTTAAATAAAACATGGAGGAACTTCATTCAGGTGATCATCTGGTGTTGAATAGCTTAAAGGCTTTATATGTGATTTGTTGATCCAGCAGATGTCACCCTTGAGCACCAGCATGAAACCAAAACAACTCGTGCTGCATTGTTGTGTTAGCATGCTAATGCTAGCGATCTTTATTATGCTGGTATCTTCACACTGCATGTAAATTTACCTGAAATGAGCGTGATCTAGAAACACAGTTAAGCAGTGAGTACAGTATGTTATTCTTCTTTTCTCTAGTCCCTCAATTAAACAACTTTTATACATGAGGGGAGGAGTCAGCCGGCCGTCCGGGCGATGTAAACAAAGTGAAGATAGGACTCTGAAAACTCTGAAAACATCACAGACAGTGGGACTCGGGTGTTACACCCATTGTAGACAGTCATGACTCACAGAGTTATTCTCAGAGGATATTCTTGATTTATATTTAAGTGTGAAAAATCACATATTAAGACTTTAAAGGATCAGGCCGGTTTACACTTTCTGACCTCCAAACTCTTTTAACACAAAAAGCTTAGCTCCTTGTTCCTGCGAAACATTTATATTAAAAAACATCACAAGTATGAAAGCTTCTTGTTTAATAAAGGCTCAAAGGTAGCTGCGAACAAATGCAAAATCCACAGTCTGTTAAAATCCCCCGGAGGTCGTTCTGAATCAGGAGAAATGTTCAGTCTGCATTTCATCTGTTATGAAAATCAAAATGAATCACATGAACGTCAGGAAACCAGTTTAGCTGGGCCTGGCATACTACGAAGTAACCACCGAGCGACCGCCATACCGTGGCGGTTATTTTTTGCAGTATGTCAGGCTCAGAATGAGGAAGGAAACAAGAGCCCAGCTGACCACAGATGTGGCTTCAGTCTGAAAAAAGCTGACTGTGACTCATTTAGATTTTCATGATTTTGAAAATCAAACAAAGTTACCTGAGAAACTCTGAGCAGGGAGCGTTCAGCTTTCAGTGTAACGTTCATTTACATATTAAAAAAAGAAATCTCACAGTGAGACGCAGCTGGTTTAAAAAATGTCTCCTTTTATCTCTTTTTCTCCACAGACAAAACCTCAACCTCCGTGTAAACCTTTACCCCCTCTGAGTAAAACTCAGGTGAGTCAGCCGCCCTCTCTCAGAGCGTTAGAGCCTCGGGGTGGGTTGTTCGTTGTATGCAGTGGAAATGTTGAGATTGAGATGTTTTTTTACTTCTGTTTTAAAGTTTATTTCTGCAACGAGGCGATTCAAAGTGCATCACACACAATTTTTATTTTCACCTTTTCTGGATTAGATGAAAACCTGTTCATTTGCAAAAGTTCAACTGACTCTTTCTTTTGTTTACTATCTTTTTAATCTTACATTTATAAAGATTGGGGTGGGGGAGGGGGGGCTGGAACTGGTTTGATGGTTGATGGAGGTTTTGTTTTTTTGCTGTGTTTTGTTTTGTCCTGGTTTTATGGAGAGGTGCAGTGTACCTCTTGTGTTTTTGTTTGCCTGTTGGGTGTTACTATTAAAAAAGGAAAAAAAAGTGCATCACACGACTTTAAAAACATCTCAACGAAGAGATAAAGAAATATTACAACAGAAAAATATAACTATCACAGAGGAGATTCAATATGAACATGTTTTTAAAATAAGATCCAAAAGACACAAATGACCTCAGATTCATATGAGTGATGTCATCCGCTCTGAACGTCTTTCAATGTTTTGGAGCTCCGAAGTCTCCGTCTGCAGAGTCACCTTCAGGTCTCGCTCTTACTGAGATTGATTTAGTCTCACAGTCGAGCACAGCCCTAAGGTGCCCTGGAGACCCCCACCCAGACGTGCTGTGGTGGTGTCACAGCTCAACGCTACACATATCTGTCATGGAGGATTGTGTTGGCTCTGTGAATTATTAAGTAATGAGATCTGAAGTGAGCACAGAGTCTTCAAAGAACTTATTGTTCAGTTACAATGTCTGTGATCAGTCGACCATATATCATCGATTCTGGTGCGTCGACTATTCAAGTGTCCCTGCACGCTCCTGAAGATGAAACACTCTTCATCTGCACCCTGAGGACAGACTCTGTCTAATCATTTACTCATTCTAACTCCTTGTTGATCCACTTCCTGTTTCTTTAAAGTGCAGCATGAGTTTCCCCTCGGGGGGGTCATTACAGTCTTATCTTAAAGCTGCAGCATGGGTTAGACCGCTGTTTGTTTTACTGCAACTCAAACTTTAACTCTCATTCCAAATCTCCAAAAAAGTGCAGAAGACACTCAGCATGTTGTAAACATGTGGAACATTCATCTCTCTCTTTGTTTTCAGTGTAATGCATCACATCCTCCTCCTGTACCTCCGGTCAAGCCCAGCCCTCCTCCGGCTGCCAGACCCAAACAGTGCCCTCCTCCGATGCCCCCCGCCAAGCCGCAACCTCACAAACCAGCATGAAACTCTTAAAGAGAATCCAGTTTGACGCCCACACTGCAGCTGTACTTTCAGAGGGAGAGAGCGGGATCGAACTCGTGTGAACGCAGAGCCTTTAAAAGACGATGTGCGTGACCCCGGCTGCTCTCACTGAGGACGTCTTTGATGACATGAGACCAAAGAATCAGAGCTGCAGGGGGAGACTCTGCATGAACTGGTGCTGCCTCGCTCTCTCTTTGTCGTTTGTTCTTAAACATCTCGTCTACTGTATGCTTCCTTTGTATTTGAACCTTAAGTTATACTTTACTTTTTTTTTTTTTACCAAAGAGCAAAAACATGCTCACATGATGTTTCCTCTTCTATTTATTAAACGTTACACAAGGGACCGCACAAAGGAGGAGAGTCTATGCAGCCTCCTCCTGCTCCGCTCAGGTATGAGTGAACGCTTTACTCCGGCTGATCGCTCACTTTTCTCTTTCTTTTAGCTCGGTTTTTAGTCTCCTCTACCTCCGATATCCGTCTCTTTATCCGCTCAATGCTGCACTGTTTTCCCTCACTTCATTTATTTGAGTCTAGTGATCTGTGACTTTTTTACTTCGGCATCTCTTCACGTTTAATTGTCAAATAACGACAATTAAACTTTATTCCAGTTTTTATTGAAAAATAAGTCAACGCTTCAGATTCAGGTAATCGTTTTCTACAAATAAGTTTTCTTACACTCCCTAAAGCTGGCCACACATCAGATGATTTTAGGCCTGATTTGCCCCCGAAAAAGATCAGGGGGCATGGCCTGATTATATCCCATTTTTTTGTGTGATGTCACTACGATTATTTTACTGCTTCCCCGCCAATCGGAATTGTAAATATCGAATGTTTGACATTTACGATTCCAGATCAGATTGCCTCAGACGTCATACCCGAAGCAGCCAATGGGAGCAAGCAACCGGGCGTTGGGTTCTCCGACATCTCGCACTCAGCTCGCTCTGCAAACCGTATAAAGCCGCTCATGATCCGTCTTCTCAGCCAGGATCTCAACCGTGTTGTTTTTCTAATTTTTCTGTTTTTCGCTGTAAAACAAAACTCAGCAGGGGGGCGATGTCGGTCGTCCTCCATATTTGTTTTTCTTCTGGAAGTCAAGTCATCGTTTCTACAAACTGCAGGTGTGTGTGGTCTCTCTGTCTGTCCGAGTCGTCTAAGTGAGTGTGTTTGGAGGATTAAGATATTTAAAAATCAAGAAAAGTGTCCTCATGTCTGTGGCCAGCTTGAACTCTCTAAAGCCAGTCCGTGCCTTCTACACAAATCCATTTCTTTGCACTGTACTTGAAAACCGATGAATGGTACGCACTGTTTGGGAAGCTTTGCACACTTCAGATGATCTGTGTGTGTGTGTGTTTTATGTCTTCAGGTTTAGAGCGCCTCGAGGAGCCAGTATTTCCGTCTCTTTTTTTTTTTACTGCACTGATAACTTGTAGAGGAAAGGTCACTGGGTGTTTATACCTTGTAGGTGTCACTTTCCAACAAGACCGCCTTTGTTGCAACAAATAAAGAGCACTTTTTTAAATTTACGAGTATGGCGTCAAAAGATTAAATAATGCATCACTGTGAAGAAGTCGACATGACAAAGGATTGATTATCTGCTGATTTTTAATGATGTGAGTTGCATAATGATTAAACATTTCCTCTCTATGGAGTCGGTTGTTTCTGCTCCTCTGTGCTCTGTTTTCTGTCTTTTTCCTGAGAAATGTTTTCATTAACCTTCAGAGGAGTCTTCTATTGTCCCGCTGTGTCAACATGTGTTGGCTGATAATTAAAGATTTGTCGGTCTCCAGTGAGAGGATGGAGGAAACGCGCTGAGAAGCAGCAGTGAGTCAGATCAGCTGGACGTCCTCCTTAAACAGCTGCATACAAAAATACTTTTTAGTGTTTCCTTTGTTACTCAGAGTCTCAGCAGTCATGGGAAGGAAACGTAGAGCTGAAACTAATGAAAAAAGCGCCGTAAAGCTACTGTGAGAAACTTTCTTTGTATTGATTTTGGCGCCCCCTGTGGCCAAACTGTCTGCTACATGTGAAAATAGTTCTCTATCAAAAGAAAATCTCATCTTTCTTTTAACCGTCAACGATACGATAAATCCTCGCTGTGGAAATGTTAAAGTCTGTTTCTGCTTAGCTGTTAATCACTTTAACCCTTTACTGTCCCGCTGCGATTCCACAACAGAGCCGTACTGAAGGACAGCCGTCCTTATGCCTCAGTACTGACCCGCAATTTCCACATAGTCTGCGAACTTCAGCGACGTTTTCTCCCGCCAGTCGATGATTGTGTTTTCCACAGCACGTCAAAGCATCACGTTGTTTGCACGTTGTTCTCTTTACTCCCTCGTGATCTTGTGAACCCGTGCGTACAGCCAGGTGGGATAGCGCGGGCGCTTGCTGTCGGACAGAGCAAAACATGGCGTTGACAGAATGCAGTTTGCATGGACTATGTTGAAATTGCATGTTACACATTGCATCCCAAGCGCAGTAATCATGGTGTCCAAGTTGTCCAAATTGCATTGGGGAAGCGGGAGATAGACCTCGCCGCTGTCTCCTTCCTCAGACCTCTATTACTACTTATGATGGCAGACCAGTGGCAGATCAAAGGTGTGGAAATGGTGGGACACTGCAGGTGAGGTGGATCTGCGACAGTAAATCAAAAAAACTTGCCCACCCTCAAAATTAAGCTAATGTAGCCATTAGCTTGTGTTCTAAAGTAGATTTGATTAGTGACGTTAGAAAGGGTAAATGATTGACCATCACTCTTCAGGCCACTCCTGCATCAGTCAGGACCAAGTCATTAAAAGCGCTGCTTGGATTCAGAACTGTGTAACTGTAAGGTGCAAATTAAGTGAGACTAAAATCTGAAACACGGGTGCAGCTCAGATTTCATTCAGGGTGAGTTGAGAGTTGTGGAACGTTGGCCTGAGCTCGGGGTCGGTTTTCTCACCAACAACTCGACTGAATCCCGAGCCAAGGAGCTAATAAAACAACTCTGTTTACAAAGAGTTGCGGCTTGTTCGACAAGCGGAGCTCTGCCTCGGCTTGTCTCAGAGTCTTTACAGGGATGATTCCACAAAAACACCCCTCAACTTCTGAGGCGAGGGGGGGGGGGGGGGGGGGGGGGCAGTTAGTCAAACATGCAGCTGTGGTCGTCCAATGATTTGGATTCAGAAAAAACACCAAACTTTCCCTCCCTGGAGACCTAAAGCAGAACAATGAAAGGTCTTTGTGTGGTTCTTTTGGTGTTTCAAGGCTTTCAGCGTCGAATGTTTCTCACTCAGTGATAAATATTCTTAGACTTCAGACACATCGGCTCGTTATTAGTGTTTTCTCTGGAGGAGAATATAAAGACGGTCATCTTCATTTTCCCAGAGACAGACTTTATGAAACACTCAACAAATCACTTCTTGATTTCTATTTTTTTTACAGACGAGGCCGGCTGAAAGTGAGTCCTCAAGTGAGTCCTCAAGTGACCCAGAAACCTCTCAAACAAAGGTCATGAGAAGGAAAGGAAGAAGTGAAGGAGATAATCTGAGCAGCTCAGTGACTCAATGTTAATCACTCGACTTTAAAAGGCCGGAAAAAAAAAAACTGTTCAAATATGTGAGTCAGATTAACTCGACTGTTTCCAGCTCTTTAATACGGAGAAAACTGGAACTGTGCCCGACCGGAATAATCCTCCATTGTGTCCAAAAAGTCGAGACAAAAGAGCTGTGACAGCAGGTGAGTCACAACTAATGTTGAAGTCAAGACCACAGAGACCAGGATATACCCCAGACCAGAGTGCTCCGAGACAGACAAGACCAAGTACAGACCAAGACAGGGTGAGACCAGAGTGCTCAGAGACCAAGTCAAGACCAAGACATTTAGGGGTCGAGACTGAGACAAGACCAAGACAGGGCAAGACCGACCAAGACCAAGACATTTAGGGGTCGAGACTGAGACAAGACCAAGACCAAGACATTTAGGGATCGAGACCGAGTCAAGACCAAGACCTTTAGGGGTCGATACTAAGTACAGATCAAAACCATGACAGGGCGAGACGAAGACAAGACCAAGACATACCCAAGACCAGAGTGCTCCGAGACCGAGCCAAGACCAAGACCTCTAGGGGTCGATACCAAGTCCAGACCAAGGCATGGCAAGACCAAGTCAAGACGAAGACCTTTAGGGGTCGATACCAAGTACAGACCAAGACCATAACAGGGCAAGACCAATACATTTAGGGGTCGAGACTGAGACAAGACCAAGACCTTTAGGGGTCGAGACCGAGTGAGACCAAGACCATGACAGGGCGAGACCAAGACATCTATGTATTGAGACTGAGACCGAGACAAGACCAAGACATGGCAAGATCGAGTCAAGACCAAGACCATGACAGGGCGAGACCAAGACATCTAGGATCGAGACTGGGTCAAGACCAAGACATACCCAAGACCAGAGTGCTCTGAGACTGAGACAAGACCAAGACCTCTAGGGCTCGATACCAAGTCGAGAGACCAAGACCGAGGCCCTCAAACCAGCGTTCTTCTCCATCATGTCTACCAGAGTCTCGACACTTCCTCCTCTTCCTCTTCTTTTCTCTCCTATAGACGGATGATTCTCAAAAAACAAAATGAGCTCTGTCAGATGGGGTCCCATTAGGGAGGATTCCTGCTGTCATTGCAAAATTTGCATATTTTTGGCTGTTGATCTGGATTAAAGTTTGTGAGCCCTCAGGGGGGCCCCTACTGGTCTGGGGCCCCCCAAGCAGTTGCCTGTTGACCAGCAGCGCCTCTGCTTGTTGGACTTAAGAGTTCATGTATCAGAACTGTATTTTTAAAAATCAAAAAAAGTCGTTATGAAAACGCAGAAACATCTGAATCATGCCAAAGTCATTTTATTTCTTTACCAGGCAAACATTTGATCTTTATACAACGACATATTACAAATTAAACATTCAGAAACCATCAGATGGAAACAAACACAGAAGAAAAAAAAACAAAAATACATATATATATAATACAATTTACAAAAAACACAATCTCTTTCTTCCATTGCACTTTACCTGCATAAATACAACCTTTAGAGAGTTTACACCGGTGAGACGTTCCTCCACCAGCTGACCGAGTAACATTCAAACATTCACCGCCCCCGCTTACCTGTGAGCGTCCCACACCCACATCACCCGCAGATACTTCACTGTGGATCAGTCGATGAAGCTTCGAGATTTGGTGACACCTCCATAAATAAAGCTGCGTTCATGTCATACAGGAATCATAAAGAGAGAGAGGCTCTTGTAGCGATCGTTTGCGTGTTAGAAATGTGTTTTTTCTGTGTTTTAAGTGGTTCTCAACTGGTGGGTCGAGGGCCCAGAAGTGGACGCCGTTTTCAGTCGGAACTTTTAATTCGCACATTAACAATAAAAAAGTTTTCAGTCTCCATGTTCGGAGAAGTTTGTTTGAATGAATATCATGAAGTGTAAGGGACGAAGCAGTGTGATGAAATATCAAGTAAATATCCTCTTTCATGATAGTTTTATATTAAATGCTTGATTGCACGGGGCGCTGGCGGCCTAGTGGTTGTGCGGAGGATGTAGTCCTCCAAGCGGGCGGCCCGGGTTCAAATCTGACATGTCAATCCCCACTCTCTCTCTCTCTCTGATTTTTGACTCCACTGTCCTGTCTCTTCAATAAAGCTCCAAAATAAACCTCAGAACAACAACCTTCTTTTAAGATTTGTTTTCTGGCTTTTCTCCTTTGTTTGAAAGGACAGTTGACAGAGTAGGAAACCCGAGAGACATGCAGGAGATGAGCGAAGGGCCGGACTTGAACCAGGACCCGCTTGGAGGACTATAGCCTCCAACATGAGGCGCTCCCTAACCGCTAGTCCATCTGCGCCTCATTCCTTTTTTTAAAAATAGTTTAATCACAGGCCGTTCATCTCATAACCTGATTTAACTTCACAGTGGATGAAAACCAATCGTCAGCGACCTTAAGGTCATTTGTCTACAAGCCGAGCCGTTGCTTTGCCTCCATACGACATGAACGCAGCTCAAACCTCACAGTGAAACACTTTGTGCTCTAAAATGAGACGACACGCCGCCCGTCTGTTTCTCCTGCTGAACGTACAGTAAAGACTTTTTTTTTATGATCATGATGGCACGGCCAAGTCCGAGTCACACATTTCATAACCACAGAGCGCTCTGCCTGGGATATAGGACACTTGATTTTAGAAAAAAAAAAAAAAAGGTAAATCAACAGAACATGGACACAGAATTAAACCCCGGTCTGTGAATATTAAAAAGATTTAAACCGATTATGAGTGAAACTGATTCTGCCTCGTCTGGAAATCCTGCGACCGCTTTCAGCAGCCATGTGGAACAACAGAGAGGATACATGGGAGTATCAAAGTGCTGTTTGCTTGATTGTAATTTCCTCCCCCCCGACCACATCCTGTGTTTTCCTTTTATGTCTCGTGTTAGTTCCCATGTTTGTGTCTGAGGTGACAGATAGAAAACGCTCTCGTCTGGTGCTACAGTTTGCTCTTCTTAGAAATGAGTTTCATGAATAATGTCGCAGCAGAAAAGAAAACAAGTGGAGTGACATGGAGTCATGTTTCCTCACATCAATAAGAACATGTCCTCCATGTTAGACTACAGGAGAGTACACCACTGAGCATGTGCAAACTCTCCCCCTCCCCTAAAGATGATGAGGAGAGTCGTTGTTGGAGAACTCTGGAGTCCAGGTACATCTGTACCACGACGTGTGACATCACTCTGCTGCGTGTTTGAACAGCTTACAGTCTTTAGTGTTACTCGGAGCGCAGGCAAAGGGGAAGGGGGGAGGGGGGAGAGATGGAGGACACGAGTTGGGTTTTTACGCGTTTCTCTTTTTTAATTTTGTTGATAAAGTTTCGTATTTCGTCCAGCTCCAGTCTTGGTCCTTGAGAGGAAAAAAACAATAAACCAGGGTCAGAGCAGAAATCTTCAAACATGCTTGAGGATGTAAAAAATGAGATTACTGCATGAAAGGAAGCACATCTTAAACTTCTTTGTGGACCTACTTCTTTTATATTTACAAAGGTTTGTTTTAAGTTTCAACTTTAAGAAACGGTTTGTTTATAAAAGGAGCACTCATCAGAGAGCAGGTTTAGTGCAAACACTGAGTCCGTTAGCCCTGGAATGCCCCTCATTCCACTCTGGGTTCTCCGTTTCAGAAAAGGAGGTCACTCAAGCACGAGAAAGAGGGGTAACACGTGGTGCATTCAAGTGATGTCGGACACATCGGAAAAACAAGTTTCCGTGTTGTAAAATGTACATGAACACCTTCTCAAGTCGGAACAACATCTCGGAAACTCGGAGAAGAACGAGCTGCCCGACTTCCCGACTTGACGGGAAGTACATCGTACATCGTACATCAGCTTTTAGCTCAGATGTAACTTGTAACAAAGACATTCAACAGATCTTCTTCGTAACATCCACAATGTTTTTTGTTGTTGTTGTTAAAACGTTCAGACTTTCCAAACTGAAATCACCTAAACACACTGAAGTCAGAAGAACGACTTCCCAACTCGGACGCTGGGACCACCGAGGAGCACCTGAATGCAGCATCAAGCCCATTTCAGAGGAAGACGTGACTTTACGTCTGAGTCCGTTACTATGGTAACTGTGTGTTCGTATGAAGATGGATATTTCTAGAGGGTTACTTTTTTTGTCACCTGTTGCCATGGTGAATCGTAGTATCGGGGCTCCGTTTAATGTTGTCTTTCTATAGTCGTGGTGCACGCGCTGAACATCAAGTGAAGCTACTCAGAGCTGATTTAACAAACTTCAAATCAGCTGATCTGGAACCAGAAACTCAGAGTTTCCCCTCAGAGCTCGGGGTCAGATTTAGACTTTGCTCAACCTTCTTTCTAAAACGGGCTCCAGGTGCAAAAGTGGAGCGGATGGACGCCTCTGATCATTGGGGCCGTTTGTAGACAGACTAGGGTAGACTATGTGTGTATTTTGCATAATATCTGACCTTTCAGAGATTTCATGTTACTTGTGACAAATTTTTCACCACGAGGTCAAAGTAAATCAAACTCACCACTATGCTCTTGGTCTGGTCGTCGGCCGCGTCCTGCATCAGGCTGGTCAGCTGACTGAGGTACTTCTGGTTCTCCTGCAGCAGACGCGGAGCAGCGTCACTGAAGGAAACACAGAGAGAGGCGATGACGTTCAGATCACTCGCCCGGAGTGCTACTACAGCTGTGAGTTTCATGCACGTGATGAAGCATTTTCAGACAATTGTATGAACTAACTTCTTAAAAATAACAAAACATCTACCAGAGATCGTGATAGAAATATTCCCAATGTTAATAACTCAGGGTGAAATCCTTCATGGCAGATTTCGTCATGTGATCTCCAGAACTAATTGATGCTTGAAATTGATGTGCGGACCACACAGAAAACAAAATCACATTCAGTTTTAACAGTTCTGCTTGTGTTTGTGATGTAAGATGACAGAAACTGTAGAGTAAAAAAAACCTGTATAGTTATGAATGAATGCTGCTTGATAGAAACATTACAATCAGTGCAACTTTTGAGGAAAAAAGGATGTCAGTATATTTCCATATTCACTTTTAGCATCATGTCCCTCCTCCTGAGACTCGTCTCTCGCCCCTACCCTCCCCTGGATGATGTGTGACAGGGGGCTATAGAGTGGATTACCTGTCGTTTGGCCCAGGTAGGGATGTGAGCGGATGTGGGGAGCTGACTGGTTGCGCAGACTGCGACCACTGAGAGACCTGCAGCAGGTTGGACGACTCGGGACTCGCTGCTATCGAGCTCCTTGACGAGTTTTGAGCCTGAAAGAGAGAAAGAGAAATAATGGCACATGCACTACGTGTGGAATCGAGCAGCATGTCGTCCCTCGGTCGATGGTTTTGGTTATTCAGAGCTGACATAGTAATGAGTTCAATGTGCTAAACATTCCTCCGCTCTCGCTCCTCAGTTGTGAAGACTTCCTGTTTGTATTTCCTCTAACGAGACAACAAACTGAATCTTTTACAGGTTTGGACTCTAAGCTCCATGAAGATATCGCTGTGGCTTCAGGACATTTTGTAATATCTTATGACATTTTGTGGACCAATCGATTAATCAGATAATCGAGAAAGTACCCAAAAAAACAAAGTCAAACGATGTGAGCAGCTGCAGAGCAGTGCAAGATGTTTTTATGAAGTTACAGTCGATTACTCCGAGCTCTCAGAGGATCCAAACATATCCTGACGTTTTGCATCATCATCATCATCATCAACCTTTATTTAACTTCTCGGAGAGATCATTGAGGGCGACCCTCACTTACAATGATGCCGAGAAAACATACATACATGATAAACAACGAGAAATGAGATAAAGCTGCCGAAGAAAATAAAATCAATAAAAGAGCAATAAGAACAATAAAATATAAACACTAAAATAATTTAAAAGCTTGAAATTACTACAGTGATAAGCCAGTAATTAAAATCAAATAAATAACAGTTACAGTCAGGTATTGGGCGGTTAAAAATAATATTTCTAAAGTGTCCATAAGGATAAAAGTGCTCAAGTTCAGGTCCTGTTGTAAAATGTTCCAGGAGTTTGCAGCACTAACACTAAAAGCAGTTTTCCCCAGGTCAGTCCTGGCATGAGGAACCTGGAGAATGGAGATCATAGTCTGTATACAAGACTAAACATACTCGACTCTAACGAGAGCTGTGAGTGAACATGCAGAGCGACTTACGCAGGCGATCTTGAGTAAATGCCAGAACTCTCTCTGCCTCTTGATCTGCATCTGCATCACCGTGTTGTCGGCGTCTTTGATGTTCTCCAGGGTTTTCTCGATGCGAGGGAACAAGTCGATGATCTTCTGTTTGCTGATCAGGATCTTACTGTCGGGAGTCGAGATGTAAACAGAGACAGTATATGAGCAATCTGTGTCTTTAGAAGAACCTAACAGGTGGTGTTTTCATCCTGCAGAATCTTCAATGAATGATTAATGAATAATAATAATGACAGCCTGTCGGATATTCACAGAAAAATCAAAACCCTCAAGCGTCTTTACCTGAGGTGGGTGTAGAGGTCTTTGAGGACCTTGTCCTGGTTCTGCACGGTTTGAATAATCGCCTTCACCATCTCAGAGCTGTCACTGCCCTCATCCGTCTCAGGTGCTGAGAGACAAACACAGCGGATAAACACATGTTTCACTTTAACTCAGGGAAAGTAAACGATCACATTGCGACTGAGAATTCTTAACTTCAGTGTGTCTTACTTTTGCATTTCATCTTCAGTTGCTTGTAAAGCTCGATCGCCTTCTCCTCTCTGCAAGAAGATAAACAAAGACAGATATGAACATCCGTCTTCTTGTAGGTGACATTTTGTAGTGTTTAACCCCTCGAACACTCACAGCTGTTCCATCTTGTCCCCTTGGCGCCGAGCGTACGGACTCCTCTGAAGCTCCACGATCTCAGAGTGCAGAGCCATGATCTCGTCGTCCAGGTGGCTCACCTCTGCCACCTGCAGGACAAACCAGGAATCACGCAAAGGACTTGCAGCTCCTGGCATCTACACTGATAGAATGTGCAGCTCATCTAAATGTCCAAATATTTGTTTTTAGTGAAAAACATGCATCACCTGTGCAAAAGCGGCGGCCCTCTCCTCGTTTTCCTGCCAGGCTTTCAGCATCTTCTCAGAGGCTGCAGACAAACACACACACAGCTCATCAAAACAAACACCATCTTGCCCGGCGCTATAAAAAATATTCACATATGTAAATGTTCCCCTGTGCGAGGGGTCTCGCATGGAGGGAAAACAAACAGCTGCCGATAAACACTCACATATGCCGTAGTGCATCTGATCGCTGTATTTCTCCAGGTCGTACTGGATGCTGCTCTTGAAGAAGTCCAGCTTGGCCTTGAGCTGCTGCGAGAAGCCGAACATGCTGTTCTTACACCTGGTCAGGTTGGTGTTGTAACGTAGGAGACTCAACCTGGAGAGGAAGGAAGGAGAGATTGATAACTGTTAGAAAGGAGGAACACAAAACAGCAGAGACCTGGGTGCTGCTGGAGTGGCTGGTTCCCTGATAAATAAATGACCCTCATCTACAGCAGCTGGAGGACTGTATGAGCTTCTCCTGCTAAGAATTAAGACGATACTGAAAGATGCAATAACAGAAGATTGTGGAGCTTGCATAAATGTGCCCAGAATAAAAATACACATATTTGTCCAGTGGAAAGTGAGATTATGTTCAAACACAGCACATGAATGCACAAACAGGATCTTTCAGGCTTACTTGTGGTGGAGATAAAAACAGCTCGGCCTTCCTCAAACAATCAAAACTATCAGAATTTTAAAAACCTGCTGAAGCTTTTTATTTTAGGGAACTACAATAAATGCTTTTCAACACTTTTAGGGATGGCTGTGGCTCAGTGGTAGACACTTGGGCAAGACACTTAACCCTGCATTGCTCCCGCTGCTTCGGTGGTGGTGTATGAATGAATTAGTGTTGTACTTACTCTCTGATGTACGTCGCTTTGGATAAAAGCGTCTGCTAAATGCATTGTAGAATTTTAAAGGTCACATATTCTCCTCCTCTTCTTCAGTTTAAATAAGTCTCAGAGCTCCTCAAAACATGTGTGTGAAGTTTCTTGTTCTAAATCCACTCTGATCCTGTATTTGATCATGTCTATAAACCCCTCTATTTCAGCCCTGCTCAGAACAGGCTGTTTCTGTACAGACACTGTTCTGTTACACAGAAACAGTGTCTGTACCTTTAAATATGAGCTGTGTCTGACCACGCCCCCTCTCTGGAAGGGCTCGGGAACAAAAGTAGCAGCTTACAGATGTTTCTAAAGTGACTCACATAGCAGCCCTTTGTCCTTGGAAAAGCCTGCTGTAGTCGTCTTTTAGGCCGCAGATGTAGCTCACTGCTTCCCCCCAAACCTTCTTCAACGCCACCAAGGGGAGCTGAGTCTTGGCTTCTTGCACTACAAAGGTAAAAAGAAAACAAACAAAAAAAAAAACATGCATGTCAGCTGCTTTATAAGTTGAACCTTCAAATTGATGCATAAAGGAAACACTGTCTAATGATCAGCAGGGAATACTGGAGATCAACTGACCGATAGTGTTGACTTTATCGGGCAGTTGTCTGGCGCTGAACGGCCCGGAGTACTTGGTGATGCTCCTGTCAAACAGGTAGACGATGTAGCTGTCCCAGCCTCGCTGCATAGAGAGAGAACAAAATCATCACTCACAGCGCCGTCACTCAGAGGAGAAAAACTGAGTCCCCTGATCACACATTCAGGGAGCGTGTGAGTCATTATATGCACATTCAGCCTTTTTCTGCATCGTTATAGCTTCCTGAGCAGCAAGACACGTCTCTTGCACACCGACTAACCACTTAGACCCTCTCTGAACTCTTTGGGCTCCGAGATTCAATGTCAAAACAACTATGTAGAAAAAAATCTAGTAAGTACTTGACAATTCTATCTCCAATTTTGAGCCTCAAATCGAGCAAAAGGAGAAATAAATTCAGCAGTTCACAGTGTTTCTGATATTGTTCTGTCTGCAGGAGAAAGAAGACAATAAGGTTATCAAAATGTTCAATACTCTTCTATCCTCTCATCCAGGTATACACTCCCTCACGCCCACTTCACTCTGCCAATGAACGGCGTCCGATCAAAACCTGCACAACAGAGTCTCTAACTAGACTCTTCTCCTCTGGCGCCCCTGCTGGTGGAACAAACTTCCACCACTTGATGATGATGATGATAAAAATGATGGTTTTTGTTTGATAATGCTGATTTTAGGATGTTTTTGATGCTGATTAGAACTCTGAAGAGCAGCTGTTGATGTTGTGCTCTGCCTCTGGTCACTTCCTGTGTGACCACAAATATGTCTGCAGAAACACTGCAGGCTGTGTTTGTGCAACATAGAAAGTGTGCAGGAGTTTGCCTGCAGTTTTTGGTAACAAAAAACTGAACACTATCAATATTGGGTGCCTCAGACTTCTGTTGCCGTGGTATTTAAACAGGTTATCGCTATGATTTGATTTCTAGTAGAATTTTTTATTTTTATTTTTATTTAACCTTTATTTAACCAGGTTGGTCCCACTGAGATTAAAAACCTCTTTTTCAAGGGAGACCTGGCTGAGACAGGCAGCAGCAAAAACACAAAGTTACAGACGGAAATACAAAGAGAGACACAGTACAATTTACAAAGCACAACATTTTGGATTAAAATAGAAGCATCTACGAGTCATATCTGGGACTCAGTTGTTCAAGCAGCCGAGCTAAAACATTGACATCCTATAGAATCTGCTTCCATGTCTTTCATTTTAGATTTAAAAACATTTCAGGACACCAGCTCCTTGGGCTTTAAGTCATTCTGCAACAGATTCCAGGCTGAGGGTGCAGAGTACCCAAAAGCCCTTTTCCCAATTTCTGTCTGAGCGCTTGGGACAGAGAGCATGAAGAGGTCCTGAGAACGCAAAGAATACTGTCCAGTACTTCTCTGCGTGATAAAAACACATAGATATAGAGGAAGCAGACCAAGAATTGCCTTATATATATATATATAAAGGTGTACCAGTGTATGAGCCTACGTATCCAAGTTTAAAAATCTGCTATTGTGATACCCCTTATAGAAACAGTGTAATCAAAGTGTCATCTTACCACTCCATCGAGGACACACTGTGCAGCGGGCTTCCTGGGATCCAGCGACACTCCCGTCTCCTGCAGCAGCTCCTGGTTGACCACCTCGATCTTGGTCTCGGCCTCGATGCGTTTATGCAGACTGTGGAGGCTTTCATCGTGAGTCAGCTGAAAGGAGTGGACCTGAGCCGTGGTCATGTTCAGGATGTGGACCACCTGGACAGGAACAGGTCAAAAAACAGTTAGATCATAGAACAGGTTCTCTTTGCAGAAATACATCCTCTACTGAAATGTGGATTTTAATTTTAATTTTTTAACTGCAGGCCAAAACCTTAAAAAGAGTTCTCCCTTATACAAATGTAATGCTGCTCCTTCTGGGCCTCCGTATATGTGTGGTGGTGACTGTGTCTGCAGAGAACCTGTCCTATGCCTGCATTTTCATGATTCTTTTTGTTTTGGTTGACATGGGACTTGTCTGGGTGGGGAGCTGGTGTGTTTCCTCCAGCCAATGACAGCGCTCAGGTGAGTTTCTGAGTGGTTACAATTCAGCAATTGGTCGCGATTCAAACTGGCCAACATGACAGAAGATGTGGACGTAGCCAAGTGGATAAAGCTAGTTCCAAAACGAGGGTTGGCCTGCTTTCTGTTGGACAGGCAGGTACCAAACACTGGTAGTTAGCTTATGCTAGCGTGCTAAATATATGTAATACTCTCAGGTAGCTTGCAGTGTAGCTACAAGCAGTAAACGTACATGCTAACCCTGCAGTGGGCCCAGGAGGAGGGGTCCAGTGTGAACATTGTGTTTACAAGCATCTCTACTGAGTCTACCTTTAATTAAGACACGAGTATTCAAACAAAAAGGTGCTCACAGGGCAGAAAAGTGAAAAAAAAAACAGAGGCAAACATTTCAGTCCTTGACTGTCATCAGTGTTTCTGACAGGAGTGATTCACAGAGCAGATACAGTCAGAGACAAAGGCAGATACCTGGCCAGGTGTGATCCATCGACCAGCTGGTGCTACTCATTAGGTATTAACTAATAGCCAGATCGTATTGTTGTGCTCCTCTGCCATTTCTTAATTAAGCCTTGTTATATTGCTACTTCAGCAATTTAATAAAGACTAAGCTCAGGCTGAGAGATTAGTGTGGATAAGTGATAGAAGATCTTAAACATCAATAATCAGAGAGAAAAGGGGATAATTAAGATTTTTTGGGGGAAAATATCAGAGATTGATTGAAGCATGCATAGCCCACATTATTAAAAAGTAGAAATGATCCTTAAACCTTTAAAAGCTCTTCATGATAAGACATCTAACATTAAGGTTTGTATAAAGACGCTGTTTGGTTTTCGGAAATTAGAGATCATGAGCAAAATTTCAGACAAGCAGTGAAGAACTAGCAATCAGCATTTCTCTGCGTTTTAAGTGAAAGCAATCATTTTGAAGAGTGTTACGTAAGTGAAGTTTGACCCAGATTCAGATTCGGTCTCAAAAGCAATCAGAAAATCTTCAGACGAAACGTCACAAAAAAAAAACCCCAAAAAAACAGCATCTCACCTTCATACTCAGAATCTGCTCCAGCACTTCGAAGCACATCGGTTTTTTGTTATCCTCGTAGGAGATTCCTCCTCTCCGATACGGATCCCACTTTAACATCAGCTGCAGCAGGGACTCCATCTGCTCCAACAGAGTCCTATAAAACAGAGATTAAAATGTGTTCAAGGAGGGAAGTTGGCAGGAGATACTTGGGAGCATAAAGACCGTGGCTCCAGTCCATTTTGCTTTTGATATGAGGGACCAGTGAAGAACAGTGTGATATGTGAAGTGATGTATTTTTAGCGTGCACAGGGCGCTCACCTGCTGAGGTTGTTGGGGTAAGGGAGGTGGGTGGAGAACTTGACTTCTCCGTTCACGTCCTCTACAGCCATGATGTCTTTTGGACCCTTATTCTTCACTTTGCTGGCCCTTTAAATCAGAAGATGGTTTTCACACTATTAAAACAATACCACGACAAGACTTAAAAGTGACATATTCTCCTCCTCTTCAACCAGTGTAAATAATTCTCAGAGCTCCTCAAAACATGTGTGTGAAGTGTCTTGTTCTAAATCCACTCTGATCCTGTATTTGATCATGTCTTCAGCCCTGCTCAGAACAGGCTGTTTCTGTGTCTGTACCTTTAAATATGTAAATGAGCTGTGTCTGACCACGCCCCCTCTCTGGAAGGGCTTGGGTGTACTCTGACTTTCTCACTCCATGTCCTATTGTTTACGGTGAGAAGGCAGACTCAGAGGGCAGAACAAACACCTAGCTGTGGGAGTGTCACCCACCTGGGGGAGGGGCTACTGCCCTTTGTGATGTCATGAAGGGAAAATCTGAACGAAAAAAAAAATCCTCTGGCAAATATCAGGAGTGTTTCAGGAGTTTTCTGCAAGTGTGAAAGCCCTAATATATTCTTTATTCAAATTAGATTCAGGGAATAAACTCATGCAAAGGTGTAGGCTGAAGCTTCATCTTATTATACATTACTTAAAGGGAACCCACTCCAAAGAACAACGACTATCTGGTGAAATAAAACAGTTCTGCAAGAAGTCAATAGTTTTATTTATCAGGTCGTCTTACCACTGCACCGGCTGCAGGTTGTGCAGGAACGGACGAAAACCACAACTGCATTCAAAAATCATGGTGCCAAAGCTCCAGTAGTCCACAGTGACGGTGTACGGCTGATTCTCAAACAGCTCAGGAGCCTGCAGAGAGAACACGCTGCATTTCAACTCGATGTATTGGATCCACATCAACATAATTATTTATTTTTTTAATTCAATATCTTATTTGTTGACAGAACAACAAAGATAATTAAAAGATTAAAGGATTTCAATCCATAATTACTTTGAGCGAGAGATTGAAATAAAGCGAGGTGCATCTGAGGAGAAAACAATTAATGGACTTGTTTGCTTACCAGGTACTGAAGCGTGCCAACAAAGGAGGTGCACAGACTGCCCTGGTCCAGGTCTTTGGCATAGCCCAGGTCGATGATTTTGTGAACCAGCTGTAGAAGAAGACAGAAATGTAAGACCGATTCTTTACATTGCAAAGAAAAGCAGAAAGGTGTAAAAACCAGACAAGGTCGTTCACCTTCCCGTTGATATCTTGCAGCACGATGTTTTCAGGTTTAAGGTCTCTGTGTATGATCTTGTTTTCGTGCAGATACTGGATACCAGATCCTGGAAGAGAGGGAATGTGGTTCAACTGACTGATGATATTCTTTAGAGACATTTCTAACTCAAACTGCACATTGATAAACAAACAGTGGACATACCAACATCGTTGAGTAACGAGAGAACTTCACTCTCTTTCAGACCGCAGCAGTTTTCAGGTTTGCTCAGCATCTGGAATCCAAACAAAACTTTGATATTCTGAGGATGAACTAGTAAAACATGTTTAGTCTGCAGAAGAAATAGTCCACCTAGCGGTTCATTTTGAGCGCCAGCTTCTTTTTTCAATTGTCTGTAATGAGGAGCAGCAGGAGGCTGCCCAATAAAAGCACAACGCCCGCCGTCTTTTTATTTTATTTTTTCCCCAAATGTTTGATATTCCCCGTAGTTTTGCCACATACGGGTCATATCTTGTACCCACATCCTCCTAGCTCCGTGTCTGATCGGGTAAAACGACCTCTGAGCATGTGACCAATTTATTTCCAAACATAACCGATGTGACTCTGCAAATGCCGATTGGTGACAGACTTATTTAAAAAGTCATCCTCTCGGCTGCATTGCAAAGCCCGACCAATAAAAACTACCTTTATAATTCCCTTGTTTTTGTTTCTGAAAGATTTATTTTGGGGGGGGGTTTGTCTTCATTTTACAGGACAGTGGATAGAGTAGGATATCGGGAGAGTTTGAGGGAAAGGAGCCACAAGTCGGACTTGAACCAGGGTTGCCCGCTTCCGAGGACGTAGCCTCCCTACATGCAAACAGCGTCCCAGTAACCTTGTTTTCTGGCATTCTGTCCCATCTGCAACAAAATGTGATGAAAGTGGTTTGAGATTTATCAACTCAAGATAAAAAAGTCCCATTCTGAGGAGTGTAAGGCAGTGGATTCATATTATCCTATATACCACTGGTTGCCAAATTGGGGTCCTGGCCACCCTTGTGGGGGGAGGGGGCCTTGAGAACTCCAGGGGGTGGACACAAGGAAAATGTAAACAAAGGTTTTTTAGTTAAAACAGGTTTGTAGGCATATTCTGATTTGATCATTGAATACAGTTAAAATGTTGATTTTGAATGCAATGTGTCACTCTTTCTTTGGTGTGGGTCCTGAAGGGGCTCAGCTGTTTTTAGACACAATTGGGGGCTGTTTGCTCCCAGGAAAAAGGTTAGGAACCACTGCTTCGTTCGAGCCCCTCACCTTCCTCAAGTCTCCCCTTGAGCAGTACTCCATGGCCAGCAGTGGAAGATCATTTAGCGCTATGTGCATCATTTCCTCAGGGACGTCCCGGCCTGCCACCACATTAATGTGATTCAACCTGAGTGAGGGAGAAGGAGCACATTGCTGTTTAATTATTCAAATACTGCACAGTCATCTCCTGCTATAAATGTCATACTTAATTCAACAGGAATGACGCAGGTTTCAGTTTTGTAATTAGAAACATGACAGCGGTTCATAAGTAATGTCAGGATATCGGGACATTTATCTGTAAATTCTTCTGTTTCCAAAAAGTGTAAAATGTTGAGAAAACGAGTCTAACTTTCTCATGATCTGGATTTCTCGGCTCCATCTGTCCCTGTTTCTTGGTGTGAGCTCCAGACGGCACATTTTCACAGCTAGTTTTTCGTTTGTTTCCTGCAAAACAGACAACAGAAATACGATTGTTTTATCAGCACATAAAAGAGGACACCAGAAATAGCAGTCGTAGTTTTGGTGGAGCATTTCCTCGTGTGTCGAGACAGATACAGCACTTATTCCCAGCAGGAGGTGAGTAAGTGGTAAGTGGACTTGAGCTTGTATAGCTTTTTTCTAGTCTTCTGACTACTCAAAGTGTTTTCACAACGCAGGTCACACCTACACATTCACACACTGATGGTAGAGGCTGCTGAGTAAAGAGACCATCAGAAGTAACTAATCCATTCATACACATTCATATACCCCTGACAAAGCAGTGGGAGCAATTCAGGGTTAAGTGTCTTGCCCAAGGACACATCGGACATGTTGCTGCAGGAGCTGAGGATCGAACCTCCAGCTCCTGCAGCGTGCAACCCAGTAGACAAACTATTACATGATTAAAAACAAATTAATTCAAGCAGATAGCTGTATGTGTTTTCAATGTCTGGTGTCATGAGCCAAGAAAAAAAGGGCTGGGAACCACTGCGTTATACTAGGGATGTAAAGATTAATCATAAAATCGTGACAAATTGATTTAAAGATTCACAACAATATAGTGAGCGTTTTAGATTTAGAAATTCAGGATGCACCACCGTCTTTTAAGTCGGACGTGTGAAGGCATTTTGGCTTCCCCAAGACAGAAAATGAAAAGAGGTGAGAAGATAACAGACGAGAGAAAAAACTGTGTGCAAAAATTACAAGAAGACTGCAGGAACTACACAAATAGCACGACCAACATGATGCAGCATTTAATCCACATCACAACGAGAAGCTCCAATCACCTCCCCTTGTTGAGAGACAGAAAACATTAAAAGGCCAAACCACAATGACAAGCGGGTTTGCAGCCCCTAAAGGAATCTTTTTCAGTCATCATTTGTCTAAAGTCTAATTTTGAAAAATAGATCGTGAGAGAATCTATCGTGAATCATTACATCCCTAAGTTATACTATAATACCCTCTTCTTCCTTTAAATGAAGTGTGTGTGTCAATGAGTGCAGTGTCAGGCCGTCATAATTGGGTTTACAAGTTTTGTATACACAGGTGTATGTTAATGTGTATTCTATATATGTAAATTGTACATATAGTAGTCTATATCAAATTGTATGTGTATATATATATATATATATATAGATTGTATCAAATGTATAATTGTAAACATACTGTACCAAACTGTATAGATATAAGGATTGTATAATATATAAAATGTAAATATAGTACATCAAATTGTACAAATAGATATGTATATATAGACATAGATATATGGATTGAATAATATATAAATTATAAACAATATATAAATTATAAAAAATAATGATAAAAATATATATAAATTATAAAAAATCATAGTATATCAAGTTGTATATAACTGCTTCTCTTCTCTGCTGTTTACATTACTTTCTGCTATTTTATCATACCATCATCACTATAATCATCACTTGTCACTTTATCTTGTCATTCTCTGCAAATACTGTCTCAATTCTCAACTCCCTGCATAGTTAACTTCATCATTCATATTGTACTTGTATATACCCCCTGTTTTTATTTTTATTATCTTATCTATTCTGTTTAATGTGTATTTTGAGCTTTCTTGTCTGTGCTGCTGTAACGCCCGCATTTCCCCTCTGGGGATCAATAAAGTATTATCCTATCCTATCCTATATATGTATGGAAAATCATTGGATTGTAAATATCAAATATAGTATCATAAATATAGTAATATAGATAGATTGTATATATATAGAGAGATTATAAGGAACACAGGAAGTTAGTTTAATTTAAGAAATATTAATTATACTTGCACATAGCTCTGCATATATATTTTTATTTCTCGTTTACTGCACATAGTTCTGTTTACATCTGTTAGTCTGATCACTGTCCACTTATATCTACTCTTTTATATTTTGTATTTTTAAGTTAATTTTAAGCTTTAAGTTGTATTTAAATTGACACTTTCTATTTAGGTTTAAAATGTTTCGTCTACTTGCACTGTTGTTAATTTACTGCTCTGTGTGCTTTGAATTGGGGACAAATAAAGTTTTATACTTCTTCCTAGTTTTGTTTATTGTATTTTCGTGCTTTTCATTCTGTTTTGTATTTTTGATATGTTTGATTTTATTTGATATGTTTGTTGTACTCACATGATGTTGGTAAAGGTAAACATTAGTGTTGTTGTACTCACATGATGTTGGTAAAGGTAAACATTAGTGTTGTTGTACTCACATGATGTTGGTAAAGGTAAACATGAGTGTTGTTGTACTCACATGATGTTGGTAAAGGTAAACATTAGTGTTGTTGTACTCACATGATGTTGGTAAAGGTAAACATTAGTGTTGTTGTACTCACATGATGTTGGTAAAGGTAAACATTAGTGTTGTTGTACTCACATGATGTTGGTAAAGGTAAACATGAGCGAACCCTCCCATGCCCAGCCTCTCTTTCAGCTCCCAGGCTCCGCAGCTTTGGTTCTGCCTGAAGGGAGGTTTCTCCATTGTTGTAACGGAAGCTGGACCAGAGTGTAACATTTATATAATCAACAACACAGTTAGAATCAATATAAACCATTTGAAAGCACAACAGACTTACATATGTGACTGTATGTAGAGTTAAAGAAGCGGCTATCACGCAGAGGGATGCGGCTACATCCTGGAGCAGATGCCTCGCTAACGTCAGATTACAGCGATTAAAGCGCATCAACGTCACACAGACGTTCAGAGGCGATGTGACACAACTTGCCGGTGTATTACTGTTAACTTGACTTATTAGCATACGAGTATACACATGATAAAACACGTACACGCAGTATAATGTTTGTTATGAGGCTAACAGTCGAGCTAACATCAACAGGACAGCAGCTCAGCGTCCAGGAAATAGACGTGGCCGTTGACGTTAAGCTTTTGTCGTTAAGGCTTCGACGCCAGTGAAAACAGACGTTGCCATAGTGACCATCCCGGAGAGCAAGTTTAGACACTTACTTGTTGTTTCTACGACGGTGACATGAGCTGTTAGCCCCTCGGTGGAGACTGCGTTTCGTCTTGTTGTTTTTTCGGGTCAACGCAGCGACGTGAGTGTGAGTGTGTGTGTGTGTGTGTGTGTGTGTGTGTGTGTGTGTGTGTGTGTACTTTCCTGCGTGACGTCATCACGAACCCCGGATGTGTTGTTCGTAGAAAACGAAAGGAGGGTGCGTTCAAGCAGTAAAAATTACTGAGAGTTTCCCTTTTTGTTTTGGCCAGATAAACCTTCAAACCTGCTCTAAGATATTTTTTTTTAGCACCAAAGATCATTTGCTGCTCCAACCAATCAACCCAAGAGGGATTAATAAAGTTGTTTAACTTTAATTTAATGTACAGACATGAATATGCATATTTTTAAACATTATTTGAAGACAATAGTGCTGAAATAAAGATAAGTTAGATAATCCTTTATTTATCCCACAACGGGAAATTTACAGTGTTAAAGCAGCAAAGAGCAAAGATTGCAGACAAAAAGTGAACACAGTACAATTTATATAAAACAAGAAAAATTAAGAAAGTACAAAAAAAATAGATACAAAAAATTAAAAATAGATCAGCTATTGACAAAAGTGTAGTCCATAATATTCTGTGTAACACAGACATGCACACAGTGCACATAAAGTGTAACATGTTATTGCACAAAGTGGATGGTTAAGCATAATATAACATTATTATAACATAATTATAACATTATTATTGCCCAATGTCAGAGTGAATTGTCCAGTTGTGTGTGTGTGTGTGTGTGTGTGTGTGTGTGTGTGTGTGTGTGTGTGTGTGTGTGTGTGTTTTGTGGTCTACTGGGAGCAGGCTTGGTTAAACAGTCTTAAACATGATTATTTTAACAGTGGGGATGGGCATATGTCGATATTTTTATAGTTGAATGAGATACATGATACATGTCTTGATATGTTTTCCTGTAAAGAAATAACAACTTTATTTTAACTTTAAAGCACTTCTACATCGCCCTAAATCTTTTTTTAACACCACTTGATTAGCAGTCTGGGGTGTGTCTAGACTTTTTATACCAGGCGGGGCAAACTGGGGCTCTGACTTGTGCAGGGGTGGCATGAAGTTTGTGTACACACTCACACAAAAATATATTTTATTTACCCTTTATGTTGCCAAAAATCATTTAACTTCTACCATTGAAGTATCTAAAAGATGTTGTATTCCTGGGGTGCCAGTCGAGGTTGGGCGGCGTGCCCTGTGTAAAGAGGCTGCTGTCCTCCAAGCATGCAGCTCAGATTCTAATCCGACCTGTGGGTCCTTTCCTGCATGTTGTTCACCACTCTCTCTGTCTCTTATTTCTGACTCAATCCACTGTCCTATCTCTTAAAAAATACAGAAAAAGCCCGAAAATAAACCTTCAACAACATAAGCAACATTATAAGCCTTCTGAGGCAGCATTTCCATCATGGAGACCGCCATCAATGAGCCTCCAGAGGCCCCTGCAGGATCAGATGGCTGACGTCACTCAGGCTTCATCCATTCATATTTACAGTCTGTGGTGACTCATGTTAAAAGGAGTTGAGAGAGAAGTGGAGTTTTTTTAAATAATAATAACTAAACACACAGCATACACCTTTCATCTTGTTGACAGACACTACAGGTTATGTGTCGTCCTCTCATGAGTCATTTCCTTTAAAGTACTTTTCTTTACACACAGTTAAAACCAGAGGTGAGGTCAGATTCTCGGGTGTGTCTCGACTCTGTTTGGCCACATTCCTGACAAAAACACCCACCTGTCCAACTGTAGGATCCTTATGTTCTGAAGATAAGATCCATTCTGTCTTCTCTGGGATGTTATCTTTAAATCAGAGACGTTCACAGAGCCACAGGGAAATGTTTTTGTTTTTGTTTTTGAACTTCCTCATTACTGAGGACAACCCCGCCCTCAACGAGGTCACACAGCAACTCCAGATCAGAGCTGAGGTCATTAAGAGTTACACTAAGGGTCATTTTAAGGGTTAAAGTAAGAGAAGGAGAACACTTCATATCACTAAAATGTCCTTGGGGTAGCGTAATTCTTTAAGGATTCAAAACAAAGACATGTGCTCAAAGTGTCAATTAAAATAAATAAATAAATAAATTATCCTACATTGATTATTCACTTTGAGTACTGATTTAGTTTTGGACAATTTTAGGAGATATTTAAAGGCAGGGTTTGTAATTTCCTCCAGATCCACTTTTTTAGATTTTGGTGTAAATTGTCTTCAGGTCCTGACAGAAATTAATAACTCATGTCCTCTGAAAAAGGAACAAAGAAAAGATCAATGTCTGCCACAAGGTACCAATCTGATGAACCAATCAGACGCCTCCCTGTCTCCCTGCTCGCTCTCTACCTCTTGCATGCACAAGCCGACACTCAAAGCGACGAGCTGAGGTCCGATTCTGGAGCGACGGCGCTCGTGTATGTAAGTGAGGGGGCGTGGCTTTTGATGGAGCACAGAGGGGAGGGGGTGGGTGTAGACGGAGCAAATTATCCTGCTAAGTGTGGCATTTTGAAGGAAATGAAGAGGAATTATTTGTCTGGTGCTGAAAAAAAAGAAAGAAAAAGGCAGATGAGTAAAAGCTGGGAAACTGGCAGACAAAATGGGGATGAATGCTGGTTGAAGGAGCCCCCAATGAGTTTTCACCTAGGGCCCCAACAGACTTTAGATTCACCACCGTATGGCGCTGAAGTAGCAGCAGGAGCAATTCAGAGTTAAGTGTGTTGTTGCAGAAGCTGGAGATCGAACCCCCGACCTTCCAGTTGAGCCACAGCCGCCCCCCTCAACGTGCTTCAAAAATAAAAATGCTGCTGCTACATTCGACACAATAATGTGGAGACACAGGCAAGCTTCCAAAACACTTTTATTTTCCTCTTCCACCTCCCATAGAGAAGCTCACAGACAACATTTCCCTTGGTGAGTTTAAAACAAGGCAGTGACACATGTAGCCCAGTGTATGTGTGTGTGTGTGTGTGTGTGTGTGTGTGTGTGTGTGTGTGTGTGTGTGTGTGTGTGTGTGTGTGTGTGTGTGTGTGTAGCATAAAATGAGCATTGCCTCTCTGAACCTGCACCAGTCTAAAAAACTAAAAAAGATTTGTTTGAGCCGGCTCGAGTCTCTAAAACAACGACAGCGTACGACAGCTTTTAAATATTCCTTCATTCACATTGAGAGAAAATCAAAACAAAAACAACAAAAATGACCATGAGCTCAAGGACGGGGGGGGGGGGCGAATGTCGACCTACTTTATATATTAACCTTTTATGTAATACTCTTAACCATATCATAAATGAACGCAGGCCATAACGTCTCATGCTTTATTTACATTCAGAAACGAGGCTTCTGGGTGGACAGAACAGTTTGTCCAGACGGCTGCAGACATGCACTGCGGCTTTAACCGAGGTGAAGCCTGCAGCCGTGCACACACACACGACCACAGGGTGACTTTCACATGAGCGTCGCAGAGCCCTCCATCAGGGGAAACCAGACCAGTACATCAACGCCAAACCAGTGCCATGGAGATCCTGCAGCTGCTCTTTGATATGAGGGAGTGGAGACAACACATGATGGAGGAGGAAGGGGGGGGGGGACCTTGGAGACTTTGTCAAGGTGGAGCTGCCTCCCTTTATATATTACATCCATCCATACTGTACCAGAGTGTACAGAGCCGTGTGCCCAGAATATCTCATCACATGCTGTCAGGTTAGGTTATCTCACTGTGTGGAGGTGATCTGATGCAGATACGCCTTCATCTGTTTCATCAATCTGCACATAATACTGCTTAGAGGACTACTTTTAAGAAGCTGGAACCAACAAAAATGTGACATAAATGAGTAAAACAAATGGCTAAAATTAAGGCTGCCATATGTGTGGTTATATGTATGTATGTAAGTTTATGTCTATCTAATGTAGGTATGAAGGAAAGGGTGTGTGTGTATACATGTATGGATATGGATGTGTAGTTGTTTGGTAAAATGGCATGTTAGGATTTCATGAGAAAATGGACAATGTAACTGAACAGCATCTCCTGAAGTTGTATATTTTATCGGTGTACTCAATAAAAAATAAGTTTAAAAAAATAAAAATGGCTAAAATCATTCAAATATGTCCTCCAATCGATTCACCTTTGACCTACTTATTGATGACTTGTTGCTGCTTGAGTTAGAAGATCTGTTTCAGGTTTTTATTTCAGTTTCCAGTTTAAAAAAAAGATTTTAAGATAAACTTTTTAAATCGTATCAGTGGGGTTTTTCATTATTGATTTATCAGCTGCTTATTTCCTCGAGTGCTTGTGAAGTTTTGGAGGATTTTAAGAGAGATTTAAACTCTCTAAACTTTGAAGTTAAAGGATGTTATTCACTATTCTGCGCTGCAGTGAGGGTTCACATTCGATTATTGGCATTTCTGCTTTTAAGAAACGACCGCAAATTTGCTGAATCTGTGCAGATCTGTTTTTGTTTTTGATCGACTAACTGCTGCAGCTTCTATGAAATCCAAAAGGGCCAGATTAGGACTGCACACACATTTTAAGAAATCAATCCAGTATGTATGTTTTCATGGTTTCAGTTAATACGTGCAAAACTAAAGTTTTAACCTAGATCTTTGCCGTCCCCCCCCAGACCCCCCCAGACTCCAGATTTGGGAGCCAATGTCGTAAAAATCCTAGAAGGTTTTAATTTTAGAAACAAGATCTTAAAGCTCAGCATTGCTTTTATACTTAGCGTGCACCGCGGTTTGGAGAGGAAGGTTTTATCGATTTTTATGTATGGAAAAAATTGTCAATAAAGACAACTTTGTCTTGAACTCTGTGTCTGGTCTCAAGACCGCCTCTAGACCACTTTATAAAGGTTTCAGTCTCTCTAAATCAAGACCAATCAAGACCACCACTGATGGCAGGAAACTAACAAATAAAACCAAACAGACCCGGAAGTGGAAAACAGATTGACACATCTGTCGTACCATCAGGACAGAAACTTCATTCTTGACTTTAAAAACAGCAGGTGGAAAAAATTAAAGTGCTCTGTAAAAAGACAAAAAAAACAGTTTATCTTGGGATTCAATTAAAGTCTGCTGGTTGGTTTTTATACATCTGTGCTTACTGGCTTGTTGGCTGTGCTTGTTAGAGGTTCAGCTGGTGACATTTTTATTTTTCACATTTTGGAAAGAGAAGGGTTACAATGCACCCGACGAGTTTATTTTTAAACCCTTAAATTGTAACTATTTAGTCCAGGATGAAATCTTAAGAAGTGCTTTTTTATCTAATATTTGGATTCATGTGACGTCAGTGGACGTTAAAGAAAGAACCAAACGTCTTCATCTGCCTCCTCAGTGGACCATGAATGACCTTTGACACGAGTCTGTGCGCCCTCTGACGGCTTTGGCCACTTTATAAACAGAACAGATAAAATACAGAGTCGGGATGTAAAGTCTCATGAGCGGTGGAACGTAACAGGAAGTCAGCTAACGATATCCACATGCCGAATACTTTCTTTAAAGCCACCAGAGAGAAAAGTGAAGAAAGATGGAGGGACATTTAGGATATGAAAAACAGAGAATGAAGTGTAGATGAGCAAAAAGCTGCAGTCAGGCTGCATCACATGGTTTGTTTTTTTTCATTTTCTAACATTGTTTGTTTGGCAAAAATGTGAGAAAGCAGTGAAACAATGGCAGTGATTGTGTCTTTGAATTGCTTTTTCTCAGCCCGATTCTCTGTTTCACTACCACACAAGACAGGAAGCAAGAGAGAAATACTGGATTTGTTTGGCTTTTGTTGGAAAGTCGGACGAAAATGTCTCGAAACTGCAACAGATCGGTGACTGAGAGGCGAACACGACGATGAGCCGAAATCCTGAATATTCAAATATATTCAAATAAATTCAAAGAACACGTTTGTAAGGATGGAGGAACAACGTGACGCTGCTTTGTTTGTACGGCCAGCGCAGTCACAGCATGCACATAGTAACATTCACATACAGAAAACACACACACACACACACACACACACACACACACACACACACACACACTTGACATCTAGAGTTAAAAACACAAACAGCTCTTGTCTGGTTTTAGCCCTGCAGTTTCCGTCCCCGCCCTCAGGTGAGCGGGAGGGGGCGGGGTCATGCATATTCACTGCAGGTGCAGCAGATGTGTATGGCTGGAAAAAAAACAACAAACAGCTCCCCCTGCTGGTCAGACACAGGCGCTGCAGCTGGTCAAGGTGTTAAAAAAAGCCTGAGTAGATAAAATGGCTAAACATCGATAACGCTAATGGAGGTGTGTGTGGCTACCAAACATCTTGTAACACCCTCCTGAATGATTCTTCTTTTTTTTTTTACATTCTTCCCCCTTTTCATGCATTTTGCTCCAACCGACGACCCCCTTTTTAAAATCATGCTAGTTCAGAGCGAACCATGCGCCGCCTTTGGAAAACCTCCTCCTTTTCTTTTCTTTTTTTAACAGCTTCCTTCTCAAAAAACATCAAAAGCATCTTTAAAATCACGTCCTAATCTCTGATAAATGCGTCACTGTAACACACACATTGTGCTGATTTAGTGCCACCATGTAAGAAAAAGGAACACAAGATTATTATGGCGTCGCACGTCTGGGACTCATACTTAACGCGTCCTCACAATGAAGAGTTGAATATATTGTAAATATACTTTGTCGTCATATATCCTACAATATAAACGGTGCATTTTTATATACACAACATATCCTGGATGCTTACAAAGAGTGTGGGTAACATATTTCCTTTTACAATATTCATCATACACTTTGACGTACACATGTGGAATAAGGTTCAACATCAACAAACTGGCTGTAAAATACTGTAAAAATATTGAAAAAACAAGAACATTCAGGGTCTGCCTGGTGAGTGGTCAAATAGGGGAGGGGAGGGGGGGTTATAAATGAGAGGCTATAAGTACAGACATGTTGGGTTATGGCACCGGCATGAAGAGAAACGACCCCTAAGAGAGAGAGAACAACTTTTTTCCTCGAATCAAGAAAAAAAAAAAGGCCTTAAAAAAAGAAGCTGAGCTGGATGCAGGCATGCGGATCACTGAGAAAAAACAAACTCTCGGCCAAGAAATATAGAGAAACAGAAGCACAACCACGGGACAGAAGCAGAAAAGAGATCGCCTGTTTCAAGTAGAGCGAAACACACAAATACAAAAAAACAAAAACAAAAAAAAATCTCTCGATAAGATGCAGTTTTAAAAATCGCCGCGCATCAGGAGCGACTTCTTCTTCTACCGATGCTTTTTGCCGTCAGCGATCGAGAGAAGAGGGAGAGAGAGGAGCCGCGCCGTCTCATCACGTCGTTACTCTCTGCAGCCGCAACATTTTCATCGTCTTCTGAAAACCAACCTGCAGTGAGAGAGGAGCTGTGACGTCCTGCTCCTTGTGTGGAATGTGAACACACCACGGTGGGGAGGGGGGGAGCTGGAATGTAATGGCTCCTGGTGATGCTTTCAAAGTCAAGTTTACACTTTTAAAAACAAACAATCAGTCGTCTACAATGGGGATGTTTTTTTTTATGTTTTGGTCCCAAAAACTGAATGAAAGTCAAGAAAAAAGGTGGGAGAAGAAGTTCGACGGGAGAGGTGGAGAAAAGTAAAAGATGCTGCTGGATGCTCGTTCCTGTCAGCTGTTCAGTGTGAGCACCGCGTTTATATCTCCATCTGCTGCTGCGCCCAGCGTCCCCGCTCTCAAAGACACCTGTGACCTCCCACCTCCTGCACCAACATCCTGGCCCGGGGGGGGGTTTCCCCACCAGCACCTCCTCTGGTAGACGAGAAGATTGGGGTCTTGGTCGGGGGGGAAGCGTGTGGGGTAGTAGACCACCCCTCACTCCCTGCTCCCCCCTTCAAGCAGAGCTCCAAACCCCTCCTGGATCTCAAATAAAAACCGCTGCAGGGAGACAGCCCCGCCTGCTGGCAGTGCAACGCTGTGCCGCTCTCCCGGCGCCCCACGCCCCCGCCTCACTTCTTGACGGCCTGTCTGTAGCTGTGTCTCTGCCCCTCCTGTTGTCGGGGGGGTTTGCCGCCGCCGCTGCAGGCGCTTGCTTTGCTGCTGGTGCCTCCGTCTCTGCTGCTGGCCTGGCTCACCTGGCTGGCCTGGCTGCTGTCCTGCAGCGTGGGGCTGGAGTGAGCTCGCTGCAGCCCGTTGTCCTCCAGCAGCTGGGACTCGAACAGGGACAGGTCCTCCTCCCCGCTCCGGATTTTAGCTCGCAGCAGCATCACATAAGTCCCATACCGTGTTTTCTGTTAAAATCAAGAGACACGCATAAAAACATTCAGCTGCAGGACCGTGAAAACGATTTCCATGCTTCACTGACTTTTCCCATTTCCTCTCAGCTCACCTCAAACTCCAGATACTCGTCCTTCTGGCGGTACTCTTCCAGCTCGCGACCTTTGACTTTGCGGTCAGGAGGGTAGGAACGCAGCTCGGTCAGCTCGGTGGAGAGACCTCTGAATCGAGATTCATGAGATCTGACCTGCTCCTCCTGTGAAGCACAGAGTCATTTTTATTTTTATTTTTATTTTTATTTTTATTTTTATTTTTATTTTTAAAATTTTTAAAATTTTTAAATTCTATTTTATATATTGTAATATCTTTTTATTCTGTATTATTTAAGTTGTTGCTAGTTCTGCTTTATTTCCTTGTTAATTGTTTAGCACCAATACACCAAGTCAAATCAAAGTCAAAGTCAACCCCGATTCTGATTCTGATTCTGATTCTGAACACTGATCATCATGTGGGAGAAGAAAGAAACACCTCCCATCTAAGAAGCCCTTTTGTTTGCTTTATTTTTTTAAATCACACTGAATCCCTTTCCCACCTGATCTCCTGATCAGCGTCTTCACTGACCTCCTTCCCTCACTTCCTCTTAAGGTTGCCTCTGTGTTCCCACTTTTGCTTTTCTTTTCCCTGGAGTTTGTGCTTGGCTGCCTCATTTTCGTTTTCCTTCCTCTCCCTTTGTTGTTATAAATTAAAGGCTCGGGCTGTTTTTATTTGCCCTAAATTTCCTCTTACTGCTTCTTTGGCAGCTTCATCTGTGTGTTAGCTGAGGCGCACAGATGGTAACCGAAAAGAGGAAATCTCCACCTGAGTGTTTTTTGTAATTCAAGTCATCAGCTCTTCCTCTCGGTTCTGTTTTCAGTTAAAAAAGGAAATCGAACCCATGACGGGGTCGGGCAAGTTTGGAGAAATTACAAAGTTCCTGTTAAATAATCACACACAACCCCGAAGCCAACGACCACATCAACAACCCGATCAGGGAAGGAAAAAGGTCTTCTGAGCTGCCTTCATTCTCTAATAACTGAAAAACCTTCAAAGCTTTGGCTGCTTTCAGACCATTTAATCACATGGTTCAGTTTGTTTCTCCAGGCTATAAACCACACAGGACGCTAATGTGTTTTCACTTTCACTCACAGCTGAACGAGCTGCAGAAACAAACACCCTCAATCAAAGCCCAGAGAGGCAAATAATAACAATAACAATAACAATAACAATAATAATAACAATAATAATAATAATAATAACAACAACAATAATAATAACAACAATAATAATTACAATAATAATAACAATAATAATAATAACAATAATAATAATAATAACAATAATAATAATAATAATAATAATAATAATAATAATAATAATAATAATAATAATAATAATAATAATAAAACAATAATAATAATAATAATAATAATAATAATAATAATAATAATAATAATAGTATATCACTTTTGTGTTGAGTGTTTATTCATGAAAATTTTAATTCTAATTACTCTAGAAAAAAATCATGCGTCAGACTTCTTTAGAAAATGTTTTTTAAAGAACGGGTCATTACTCTTTTTCTTCTGAATATTTGATCGACTTTGAGTTTCAAAGGGTCCTGGGGTTTTATTCAAACCAGGTTCAGTCTGGGTCCAGGAAGAGGGAGCATATCAGTCCTGTTCTACTCTTCATCCGCTCCTGATATGCTAAGGTTGTGATTTTTGTTTTTAAAGTCCTGAATGGCTCGTCTCCCCTGTAAATAACTGACCTCCTAAATCCTTACACTTCATCTATTCTAGGCCCGTTAAATCCTCTGACATGCGCCTCCTGGCTGTAGTGTTGTAGTCAAGACCACATGAACCGAGACCAGGACATACCCGAGACCATAGTGCTCAGAGGCCGAGACTAGACCAAGACCTTTAGGGATCCGAGACCGAGTCAAGACCTAGACCGTAAATATCACTGAAAAATCATCATCTCCGGGCGCTGGTGGCGCAGTGGTTAGTGAGTGGGGGCTGTGGTCTTAAGGGTGGGCAGCCCGGGTTCGAATCCAGCCTGTGGCTAATTTCCCGCATGTCGTTCCCTGCTCTCGCTCCCTGATTTCTAACTCTGTCCACTGTCTCTGAAAAAAAATCTTAAAAAATAAAATAAAAATAAAAATCATCAGATGAATTGAAGTTAGTTGTTGTTGAAGAAAGAAGCGTTTTTTTTTAAATCTCAGTAATGATGTGAGAAAGAATCCATCAGTGGTGGTCTTGATTTAAAATTTGGAGTCCATCCAGTCCGGGACCAAAACAAGACCGAGTAAAAATGCACAGATTCCGAGATGAGACCGAGACCTTCAAAAAGTGGTCTAGAGACCAAGACCGGTCTTGAGAACTACAACACTACCTGTCTGTCCCTCGCTCACAGGTTATCGTGCCTTTGCAGTCAAAGCCCCCCCCCCCCCCCCCCCCCCTCCATCGGGTCTGCCCCCTCTGTTGACTCCTTAAAGTCCCACCTCAAAATGTATTTCTATATGTTAGCTGGTCCTGAATAGTTTCTCTCAGGTTTTCTTTATTCTTCTAAATGTTGGAACTTCCTGTAAATTCTTTAATTGGTTGAACCGTACTTTGGTCCGCTGCTGCTTCTGTTTTTTAAAATGTGCTTTTATAAATAAATGTGACTCGACTTGGCTCCTCGAGGATGAACGATAAAGATACCTCGCTCTGTTTGGACATCGTCCCCGGCAGCAGCGGCCGGCTGAACTTCTTCTGGGAGCCGATGGCCGCCGGGAACGGAGGAGAGGAAAACAAGGCGGCCACCGTGTTGATCCGTGTGATCCAGGACTGCATCTGCTCCGCGTTCCTGCACATGGATCACGCCCACACAAGCACAAACACATGAGAGGAACAGTTCTTAAACACACACAGAGTACAGTAGATCCTCGCTGCAGCAGAAACGAAAAAACATCAAAAGGAGTCATTATCAGAAAATCGCAGCCCTGCTGTTGACAAAGAAATGATTTTGCAGCCAATTAATGCATGAGAGGAAAAGAGCCTGTTTTACACTAACAGACCTATTAGGGGGCCCATGAGAAATATCAGATTGAGTCAGACCGCCTCGCTCAAATCTCCAGGGAGCGACGGAGAGCGAGGAGAGGAGAGGTAGAGGGACATCGAGGAGAGAGGGAGAGACAGAGAGAGAGAGAGAGGGGTTCAGTATCTGGGACAAACGCAAGCTGCAACTGGAGCACAGAGCCTGTCCTCCAGGGGGGCTGAAACATGTGGCCACTCATGTGCCACTTCCTGGATCCTGATAACACACACACATGCACACCTCCACCTCGCCTGCAACTATAAACACCGCGTTTGTGATTTGTGCATGCTGCAGCGTTGATCCGTGTGTTCTCTCTGAGTGTGTTCTCATCCGCACAGCTGGATGTGTTCGGTGCTCAGGTGCCCAATTACCCTGCTCCGATGTATTCTACAACGCAGACACTGTAGCTTAGCATGCAAGTGCAATTGTTGAACTTTGTCATTCCAAAGCGGTGAGCATTTCTCTGCTGCTGTGGCTGCTTCCACTCCTCTGAATTCAGGCTTTCAAACCGTGATGATGAAAAGTTTTGATGATGGTTTTATGGACGTTTTTTAGTCTTCTGTTGTTACTTGATGAACTCGTGTATTTCTGTATTTAACGCCTCTCACGGTGTCTGTTGTTTCTATTGTCTGATTCTATGTGCCTGTGTTCTATGCGGTTGTTGTTTTTTTTCTTCTCATAGTTGTTCTCACCTGGCTGCGAAAAACAAATTTTCGCCTCAGGGACAATAAAGTAAAGTTGAAAGTTGAAAGTTGAAGACTCGCCTGGGCCCAGACGTTTGTGTCAGACAAGTTTACAAAACATAACAGATTACTTTTTTGGCACAAGCAGCCAACCACCAGGGCTTAAAAAAAAAAAGAATGCAGCAAATGCATAAAGTGCCAAACACTGCAGTTCCTGAAGTGGCCACTTGAGGCAGACTCCAAAAGCGAGTCAATTCCCATTAGGCTCCATATAAAAATGTCCGACTTTACTGCAGAAATGAAATAGTTTATACTCTTTTAATAGGAAACAGTTTGGTCTTTTTATAGTCTTGACAACTGAACAATGGGTTGAACTATCAAACAAGTCACCCGCTTCAATTAAATTAGGTTTTGCATAATTAGGGGCGTGGCTGCTTTGAGTGACATGTCGGTGTTGGACCGCTGAATCTGAACTCTAAAGACCTTTTTTCAGACGGCTTTTTTCATCCCCTGCAAAAGTGTCGTATCTAAGATCAGCCGTCATCACGTCTGTGCACATTCACATTAATTCCACAATGGCACTTCAGGCGTTGTTGGAGCACAGCACTGCAGTGGGAGCTCCACATACACACATAGGACGAGATGCACACACACACAGCGCTGCGCTACACTGATACCGTCTCACCTCTGTAACGCCTCTGTCACTACTTCTGAAGACGGTATTCCTTCACATAATTTTTCTATTTTTTGACCGAGTGCACTCTCTCCTCATTTTATTTGAAAAGTAAAACTACAGGACACTCGATGAACCGCATTGGCTTAAAGGAATACTTCACGCGTTGAAACATGAATCTGTATTGACATTGGGTCATATATGTAGAAATGTGAAATACATTTTGAAGTTGGTGCCTTCTTGGCCGAGAAAAGGCAGAAAGTGTCTTTTTGGCTCAGAATACACATAAGGCCGTTTCCTCAACTGATTCCCAGATTTCTTCCAGAAGGAATTGGTATTTTGGAAATTCCTGGCAGAAAACATTCCTAGCTGGTCAACTAGCGTTGTAGTTTCCCTTCATTTTTCAACCCAGGAGTTTGCTGCTTGAGTGAAACATAATTTGACCCAGTTGTGATGTTTGGACAAAGCTACAGGTTAAAAAAATAAATAGTAGAGGACAGCAGAGAAAGTAGAGGACTCACGGTGCCTGGAAGAGGTAAACCCTCCAGTCGGCCGTCCTCAGGTAGAACACGTTGGGTCTCTTGCTGTAGTCTGAAGCCTTCATGGCCAGAGAGTGATGGATGGACACGGCGTTCTTCAGGTCCTCCTCAGAGAGCTGCTTGTCGGGCCTGTACTCCCCCTGGAGTCACAAAGATTAAAACTCTTTATTAAAGCTGATGGGCTGACCATGAGTCTGAAGGAGCGGCGCCCTGAAAACATTGTGAAGTGTGCGATGACTAAGATGAACAGAATGATTGTTTTATTGACTTTAATTTATCCAGATAAACAAAAAAACAAAAAAACTAGCTTTGTCTTCTGAGCGCCTGCGTTTTTTCTTTTCAATGAGCAGAAAGCGACAAACTGGAGGAACAAACTTCCTGGATTTCAGAGACAGGACAGAGGATAGCGAGAGAGAGAGAGAGAGAGAGAGAGAGAGAGAGAGAGAGAGAGAGAGAGAGAGAGAGAGAGAGAGAGAGAGAGAGAGGAGAGAGAGAGGGGAGAGAGAGGGAGAGAGAGAGGGGGAGAGAGGGAGAGGAGAGTGAGAGAGAGAGAGAGAGAGGGAGAGAGAGAGAGAGAGAGAGAGAGAGAGAGGGAGAGAGGGAGAGAGAGGGAGAGAGAGAGAGAGATAGAGAGAGGGGAGAGAGAGGGAGAGAGTGAGAGAGGGAGAGAGAGGGGGAGAGAGAGGGGGAGAGAGAGGAGAGAGAGAGAGAGATAGAGAGAGGGGAGAGAGAGAGATAGAGAGAGAGAGGAGAGAGAGAGAGAGAGGAGGAGAGAGAGAGGGAGAGCGAGAGAGAGAGAGAGCGAGCGAGGGGAGAGAGGGGAGAGAGAGAGAGAGAACAGAGAAAGAGAGACAGATAGAGAGAGAGAGGGAGAGAGAGAGAGAGAGAGAGAGAGAGGGAGCGAGAGAGAGAGAGAGAGAGAGAGCGAGAGAGAGAGAGAGAGATAGAGAGAGAGATAGAGAGAAGAGAGGGAGCGAGAGAGAGAGAGAGAGAGAGAAAGAGAGGGAGCGAGAGAGAGAGAGAGAGAGAGAGAGAGAGAGAGAGAGAGAGAGTGGGGAACGACATGCAGGAAAGGAGCCACAGGTTGGATTCGAACCCGGGTCACCCGCTCTCGAGGACGTAAGCCTCTAACAGCGAGGCTACCGGCCAGTAGAGTAAAAGAATCAATCTGTATGATGATGGTCCCGTTTGTTTTTGTATTTCATAGCTAACAGAAAAAATTTAATAACGACCAACAATAAAAAGCACCGAGGTTTCAAAGTCAGCACAAACAAAACACACCAGCCTCACGAGAACAAACATCAACATAAACACCCGCTTCATGGATTCTGTTGTTTTATTTTAGAACCTTGGCGGCCCGCTCTGCTGGCAGAGGACTCCTCACATCACGGCCAGACCTCCGCACGGTGCCAGGACGCCGCTGATCGGCCTGGACGCCATGTCAGAGTGTTTTAAGACATGTAAACAGGAAATGGGCTCAATAAACAGACTGTTAAAGATGTGTGTGAGCAGGTGTCACGATACCAAATAATAAATCTTTTTGTTTTCTTTCACAGGAGACAGAGATTCAAAATGTGTCGCCTCCATGAAAAGGTAAACAGAACGCTTATGGAGATGGAGTCGGCTGTTATTTTAAAGGTTGAATAATGAATATCAAGCGGCAGCTGGTGCAAAGTGCTTCTATTATAAATATGCACGTTTAACATAAAAAAAAAGTTCTGCAGTGATGTGGGCGACTCACTTTCTGCAGGTAGAGGATGAGCCCTTTAAGGATGGCGTAGAACGTCTTCCAGCCTCGCTTCCCTCGCGGTGCTGTGAGGAGGAGAACAAACGCGTTACACTGTTATAATGTTGTGCATCATATATAAGAAAATATATCTCCAGAAATTATGAATGAAAAGACGTGAAATCCAGTCAAACCACTCGTATGTGAACTGGAAGAGTACTGCAAGTTCTGCAACATGAAAATGAATTCTGTATCTGGTGGTATAAAAAAGATGGACGACATGACATCTTCCTAAAAGTGAAGCCAAAACACTATTGTCTGGCTGCAGAATAAGTCATAAGCTCCGCCCCCTTTCCTTCATGTGTGTTCTCCAGTATGTTCTTCTCCGCTCTTCACCGCCCCTTTTTTTTTTTTTTTGGGCAGTCATGTGTATTTGACTTCTGGGATTCCTGGAGCCAGCCTCTAGTGGACACTCAACGAACTGCAGGATTTTGCACTTCAGCATTGGCTTCATTTTTTTCAAGACTGGAGGTTGCCACTTGGTCTCACCTCCGGCCCCCCTCCCCTCGCTTCCTGTCCGACTGCCATAATCTACCGCTGTGAGTGCATATGTGAAAACATAAGTGCGAAATACATCAGAGCCTGTTGAATGCTTATTTTGGCTTCACTCTTGTACAGCGAAAGAAGATGGAGACACATTGTCCATTTTTATATACAACCAATATGTTCAACTGACTCTTAGATCTCTTTTTATACGTTTTTATTATTTTTGTGTTGTCCTCTCTTGAGGGTCATTTTCACACCTTCACAGGAGAGTGCAGTCGTTTGGTCTGATCGCTGATGACTGTAAAATTGGTGTGAACATTTTTTTTACGACACAGCGCTTTGGAGGTCGTTTTGGGGGTTGGTCTGTTGTTTGTCTCGTTCCACTCACAAAGCAGAAGATAATGACTGAATGGAGAACGTTAAAGATAATTTCACGGAGCTGAGGCCTTCCTTGGACTGACCTTGACTGTTCAACGTTGTTGTCAGTGTGGTTAACGAGATCTGCAGGTCACAAACGCCATTCTGTTTCCGAGTATAACCCTTAATGTAAACTGCATTTCTTTATTTCCGAGAACGTCTGTCTGTTTGTTATTGTTATCTATTCACCTGTTAAGTTTTAAAGGGTTAAAAAAGACATTTTAATAACTCGAGATGAGACTCGTACTTCTCTTGCCGTCTGAGTCCGCGTGGACTTTGCGGACCAGGAACCCGTTCTTGTACAGCAGCGCTCCCGTAGGCTCCCCCTCGTCCGCCAGGGGCTTCTCGCTGCTGCCCACCCGCTTCATGGACCTGGAGGCGTTGGAGTCGCACAGGCTGTCCCCGAGCTCCGAGAAGGACTTCCGCAGCTCCTCCTCGTCCCTGTGGAGACAAAAACATTTAAAAAAAAAAAGAATCAGACACCACAGAGATCAAAACACTTGAATGTGTCATGTCTCATTAGGCGAGGGCGAGTAAACACATCGTCACTCATCCTGTCCGTTTCGCTCTCACTGTGTGTGTGCTCGTTACACAAGAGCAGAAACAGGGCCGCAGATTTCACACGCTCGCTGAAACTTTCACTTCATACAGTACACATGATGAGTAATGTTGAGGCTTGGCAGAGATTTTGTTACACAACACGTTTAGAGAGCATGTATTGTGTTTCTGGGGTGAATGGATTGGTCTTCAAAAGCTTTTTCTCTCCTTGATCAGAAAGTGACACAGCTTAAGAGTGACGCCATCATCCATCTCTTTCAGCTTTGAGGTGAGAAACAGGGGCATCTTCACCCGAGGGAGGTGGGGCAACATCCAGCGCTGAAATGCAGGCGCCTCACTTTCTGCTCTTCCTCCTCTTGATGCTCAGGAGGAGCCTCACAGAGAAGAGAAACACACACCGTCTTTACCACAAACACGTCCAGACTTCCAAGGAGAGGACTTCCTGTTTCTACAAGATGTCCAGGATGTAACTGCAATTTGGTACAACTCAAAAATTGTGTAACATTCCTTTAATTCCTGTAATTATTCCTGTTTTTTGAGCTGTTTTGACAAATAAAAATTCCCCCATGTTGCATCAATAAAGTTTATCTTTAACAGACCCTGCTTCAAATTACCGTAAAACTTCAAATAAAAGCCCATCCCAATTGCTGGAGCTATTTAATTGTTGTTAGAATTAGTTTTGGTATTTAGTTTACTAATATTTGGGTGGTGTTGTTTATTTAATTATTCTACTTTTTTTTTTAATTTAGAATAGATTTTGGGTAATATTTTCTTTTGCTAGTTCTGACGGATCATAATTTAATTCATTTGTCTACACATCTTTTTTTATTTTTTTAAAGTTGAGTTGTTTCTGTTTGAGCAGCTCAGTTCTGCTTGTGTCTTTGAACGCAGCTTCATTTTTTAGTTTAGAATAGATTTTGTGAAATATTTTCTTTTGCTATTTGTTATTTCTTTAGTAAATTTTAGTTTTGCATTAGCACTTTTGTTGGGTATTTGGGTAACACTGTGGGCACCAGAGGTTATTTAGTTAAGAGGCAGGTAGAGGACCAGCATGCACCTGGGTGGGCCTATGGGGTTTTGTAACCAGCGCAAGAGAGGCAGCAGGAGACACGATTTCCTTTTGAACCAAATAAACCACCAAAAAAACCCACAGATCTCTTGCATGGACATTGGACTTCTTCTGCCTGCGTACATCACATCCCCCATGGTGCATCAGTGGTCATTTGATTATGTTTGATATTAGTTTATTTAGATTTTCTTTTTGTTTTTGGACAAATAGCCACTACACCAATTTAAGGCCTCAGTCCCCTTTTTGGTGTTGCAGGAAGTTTTGACAAATAAAGGCGAGCCTCGATTAGAGGCTCCTCAGGCATTTAGCGTTATCCTAAATATATTAATTTATATTTAAATTGAATTCCTATCAAAAGCAGGAGAAACCTTTTGTGCACGTCGAGACACAATGATACAAGAGCATCACCTTTAAGATAATTCTTTTCATTTTAAGCTTCTTGTGTGGAGGTTTTAGCTGGTTATGAAGCAGACTGAAGTTAGTATCGATGCCTCTTGAGCTACACAATCAAATTTAGACCATCAGAACAGAGACAGATTACTTCTGTGTTGTTGTTTTTTGATGTCTGTACACACAAGAGCGGTGAATTGTCAACGCTGACTCTGAGATCAAGTAGTACTGCGAGGGAAACAGAAGTAAGAAACATGCAAGAAAAAAAACATCTTTGACCTGACGAACATGAGCAGCATTCAGAAAAAGGTTCAGAAAGAAATACTGAAATGCTGCAAGAAGGAAACAGAAACTGTCTCCAGGAGACGCTAGAAAGGTGATGCTGGGATTCACTCTGTGTCCAATTAAACACAATCACCGCTCATTTCTCAGACAGGATTTATGAACGGCTGACTTTAAGAACTGCACAGGGAAATCAAAGACCCCAGATCATCCTCATGTTTATGATCAACTCTGTTTTTGCACATTTACATCTACGTCCAGCAAAATATGTTGTATTTAATCTTTTCTTGATTAAGACTAGTAATGCTAAGTTAAATCCTGGTTGTATATATTCTCATTCTTAGTTTTGATATTTTTAGTGCTTATTTACTTTGTATTTAACATTTTATTGTGTTTATTTGCTAATATTGTGTGTTTGGATAACCTGCTGCTGTAACGCCACAATTTCCCAGTTTGAGATCAATAAAGTAATTCTATTCTATTCTATATTACATTTCATGTTGTCAGTCTAAAGCCGTCTTGTAAAATTCTTGTTTTCATATCAGGGAACATGTGATTAATGTTGCCCTCTGAATTATTGTGTTTCCTGCCTTCCTACTTAACTTTTTGATAAATGTTTTACTTGTTTGTTGCTGAAAATCCATCTTAGCAAATTCAATAAACGTTTACATTATTAAAAACTCTGCACGGTACAGTAGACGGGTTTCCATGCAGCAGCTACAGGCGTCAGAAAACAGAAAACCCCGCTCACCTAGAGTCTGAATGTGGAGCTCTGACGGATCATGATTTAATTCATCAGCCTTCTTTCATCTTTTTTTTTTTTTTTTTTAAAGTGGAGTTGTTTCTGTTGGATGTGAAGTTTCTGGTGAACATCGCTCATTAGAGAGTCCGACCTGAGGAGCCAATCTTTGAAAAAAAAAAACAGTCTGATGAGCATCAGCTCAGTTCTGCTTGTGTCTTTGAACGCAGCTTCATTTCTTAATAACTAACTCTCATGTGCACCCAGCAGTGTGTGAGCAAGAACTTGTGAATTTTCAAGTTTTTAAAGATAAAAGACATCGCTCACTTCGTCTTATTATGTTTCTCTGTGCTCTTACTTTTTGTCTTTTAATAAATCATTTTAGTGTTTTTTTTTATCATCCAATTTAGATTTTATCTTCTAATATTCCATCAAGACTCTTCATTTTTAATTATCACATCTAAAGTATTCCTGCTTCTGATCACATCCCAGAACATATTAAACGATGTAAATGAGTTTTTTTTTAATTGTATTTGAAAGACAAGACGATTCTTACGCTACACGTTGCTAAAGCAGTGCTAATCCCATTCTCTTGATTATCCCTCCTAATTCACTGCATTCAGGTCTTTTGAGTGTTTTAAAGGGATTTGTCACATTAGGAGACGAATCGAAGCTGCAGGCATCAACAGCGAGAGTCTCTGCAGCTGCAGCCTGCCGAGCGAAACGCGGCAATCCCACTTGTTACCTCACCAGGCGGCACCCATGCAAAAGTTCAGCCTGAAAATAGAATAATGGCTGGATGCCGAACCCCCCCGAGACCACGCTATGAGTAACCAACAAGAACATAACAGCAGTTAACCCCGCGCAGAGAGCCAGGGAGGGAGAGAGAGGAAGAGAGGGAAACAGAGAGAGAGATGGAGCCAATGAGCATGCAGCCTGTTGCCTGGTAACTGCCTGAATCCCGTTCTACACAGAGGCGAAGTGGAGCTGGGGGGGGAGGAGGTGAGGAGACAGATAGTGAGAAGGGGGAGAGAGAGAGACAAAGATGATCCTTTTCAGAAAATTATTAACATTACGATGGGTGAGAAGAGAGGAGAGGAAAACTAGAAGTGGAGACGAGACAAAGATGTTGAAAAAGGAAAGACAAAGAAACGAGTGAAACACGAGGAGAGGAAATGAAGTGGACGTATGTGAGAGAATAAGAGCAGGAAAAAAAAGGAAAGGAGACAAAAGAATTAAAGTAAAAGTCAAATATACTGATAGAAAAAGGAGAAAGGACAACACGGGAAAGGTCAAGACAAAAAGGAAGGAGGTAAAAAAAACACCTGAGGAAAGAAAATGATGAGAAAAGAGGAGGAGAGGAGATGAGGAGAGGAGAGGAGGAGAGGAGAAGAGGAGAGGAAAAGAGGAGGAGAGGAGGAGAGGAAGAGAGGAGAGGAAAAGAGAAGGAGAGGAGGAGAGGAGAGGAGAGGAGGAAAGGAGAGGAGGGGAGGAATAGAGGAGGGGAGGAGAGAAGGAGAGGAGAGGAGAAGAGGAGAGGAAAAGAGGAGGAGAGGAGAGGAGGAGAGGAAGAGAGGAGAGGAAAAGAGAAGGAGAGGAGGAGAGGAGAGGAGGAGAGGAGGGGAGGAATAGAGGAGGGGAGGAGAGAAGGAGAGGAGAGGAGGAGGAGAGGAGGAGAAGAGGAGAAGAGGAGAAGAAGAGGAGAGGAGTAGAGGAGAGGAAAGAGAAGGAGAGGAGGAAAGGAGAGGAGGAGAGGAATAGAGGAGGGGAGGAGAGAGGGAGAGGAGAGGAGGAGAAGAGGAGAAGAGGAGAAGAGGAGGAGAAGAAGAGGAGAGGAGTAGAGGAAAGGAGAGGAAAAGAAAAGGAGAAGAGACAAGGAGGAGAGGAGAGGAGGAGAGGAGGAGAGGAGAGGAGGAGAGAAGGAGAGGAGGATAGGAGATGAAAAGAGAGGACAAAATACAGGAATAAAAGACAAAGATGATTTTCTACAACTTCGTGTGTTTGAGGTCAGGACTCTTCTAAAGGCTCGGGGTCTTTAAAGGGATTTCTTGCTGCTCTCGTCTGGCTGCAGATAAACCCTGTTGTTGCCAATTTGACTTGTTTTGGTGTTTGTGTGGTGAGTCAGGTAAACACTGCATGTAAACATTACATCCTCCGCTACGTCACCTGCGCACACACCTGGCTATAGACGGTGATCACAACCACAGGTGAACGAGGAATCAGGAGTCAGAGGAAGCCACAAAGTGTGTGAAGGTGTTTTTAAGTCCTGTCATGTTTAGTTTCATGAAGCAGCTTGTTTTTACCTGACGCAGTACGCTGAAAATTGGGGGGGGGGGGGGGGTCATGGGTTTAGGCAGCGACACCAGGGAGAGTCGATTTTTGTCTATTACACTCTTTTTTTCCACAAAATCGCCCTTTTCTGCACAGAAAAATAAGCCAAAATAAGTTTCCTCGACACAAACAGTCGCATGAGAACTTTACCCTAAACGAACTACACCTCTTTCCGGTATCGCCGCCGTTTTCAAAATTCTGCAGATGGAAGAACGCTACAGGCAAAGTGTAAACAACCGCTGCTCAATTTTTATCAGCTCCAACTCCAATACAACATGATCGGATTCAGTTGCCATGGTTACCTGCACACAAACAAACAGAGAATGTGGTAAAACCAAATACTGGAGATGTAACAAGCATTGAAACTGGACATGTAGCACTTGTAAGCGGAGTATTGCAGATTTTCTTGCTCAATTTTGTAATGCTCACAATGGAATAGTCCTCTACGGAGTATAGAATTATCCGGGACCCCTCCTAGTATTTAATTTAAATCAATGTGTGCTCATTCGATCAGTACTGTTAGCATTAGCCTCCTGGCTAACATTAGCTCCCTCTCCCTGGCTTCCTTCAGCATTTGGAGCTGACTGAAATAAGTTTGTTAAGGAGTTCTTGATGGGGTTCGAGCCAGCTCCCTCCTTTTCCTGTCACCCTAACTTTGTGCAGGTCCTGGAACAGCTATACTTGTTGTGACCAAACTGGAATAACCGTTGACGTCGGTAACGTTACTAAAAAGATCATATCATTTTAAGAAGAGGGGGTTTACATTTTGAAACAGACAACATTTTACTTTTAGCAACAATAAATAAAATATGTTTCTGTTGCTGTCAGAGGTCATGGTGAATATTTACGCGTTGAATAATCGCCACTGATGTCATTACGATGGATTGCGTTCGGCCTGTTAATGCTACAGCATTAGCCTGCTGATACGTGATTGGACAATTCTACTTGGACTAGAAACTAAAACAGAACACTTCCCTTACTGAAATCCAGATACCCTATGGTGACGACATTTTTTATAAAGAATCTAAAAAAAATAGATTTTATCAAAGCTATGTCACACTTGTGTTTTATTTATGTGCTTTTACCAAAACTACTTTTAGAGGATATAATAACTGCTGGTTAATATTGTATGATAGGTGGACTGTACAGTGTGCTGCAGGTGAAGGTAAGACGGGATGATTAGAGACACAGAGGGAGGAGGGGAGGAGGGATTAGCAGAATAAAAAGAATAATAGAGCAGATGGGTCTCCTGTTCCTCATGCCATCGTTCTCCTCTCATCGCATCCTTTCATAAAAACAATTCTCCTGCCCGTCGCCTCTCTCCTCTACCTGTTTTTTTTATCTGCATTTACGACTTGTTGCATCTCTCTTTTCACCGCACAATGCTCATCACCGCCACCGCCACCTCTCCCTCTGCTCTCCACCCCCGCTCCTGAATGAGGAAGCATGTGTGTTCTGTATACGTCTGTGTTCTGTGTGTGTGTGTGTGTGTGTGAGAGGAGAACATGTGGGTGCATCCAACTGCACCGTCGAGAGTGGCCATGTGTGTGTATCTCTCTGTGGGGGTGTGAAATAACATCCATCAGTGTGCTGTTTTTTTTTTTTTTATTGTGTGTGTGTGTGTGTTTCTCATCGGGCAGCACACACTAAACTGTGCACCCACACACACACACACCTGAAATGAGATGTACACAGCAGATATCACAAACACAATCTGTATTCATATAATCACAGCAGGCGGTTTGTTTTAGAGTGAAAATCACACCTCTGTCACAGGAACTGTGTGGAGCTGGTCTTTTTAAAGCCTCGATCGGGGAGTGAATTAGTAGATCAATGCAGGGCGGGTCTACATATAGAACAGAAAAAAATAGAGCAGAGTGTGTATGCTCCATCCTGCAGCGGTTACAGTTCGCACGTTGCAAAGTGATGTTTTCCAACGCAGATGTGAACAAGGAGAAATGAAAAAAAAAAAAAGGCTGCATGTGGAAATTTGCTTTGAAGCTGTAAAAATGCATAAAATCAAAGTTGAGTGTTTTATTTTGCAGCAACAAAAATCTGAATGAAAAGAAAAGTTCATAAAAGTGGGGATCCAAACCAAGGAGGGAGGGAGTCTTTTCTATGCCAACCGTTCACTAAGCCAATCAGAATGCAGTTGCTATGAGTGACACTGATGTATCAGACAGTTGATGTACCACTGAAAATAACCGACCTGCGCTTAAGATGGAAACATTTCTGAAAGGTCACATATCCTCCTCCTCTTCTTTAGTTTAAATAAGTCTCAGAGCTCCTCAAAACATGTGTGTGAAGTTAACAAACACCTAGCTGTGGGAGTGTCACAAACCTGGGGAAGGGGCTACTGCCCTTTGTGATGTCATGAAGGGAAAATATCCAATTGGCCTGTTTGAGCTCACATTTTCTGAAAAGTGGAGCAGGCAGAAGACACTAGCCGAGAACAAGACAAGACCAAGACATTTAGGGACAGAGACCGACAAGACCAAGACATTTAGGGATCGAGACCGAGTCAAGACCAAGACCACAAACATCACTTTAAACTCAAATGATGTTCTTTTAGAAAGAGGCGTTTTCCTTCTAATCACAATAATGACGTGGTCTTGACCGGTCTTGATTTAAAATCTAGAGTCTGACCAGTCTGAGACCGAAACACGACCGAGTAAAAATGTTTTTGATTCCGAGACGAGACCTTCAAGAAGTGGTCTCAGTACCAAGCCCGATTTGAAGTACTCCAACACTACTTTGGAGGGATTCATAAAAGTATTAAGAATAGAAGGAGAAAGACAGATTATTAAATGGTGAAATGGTCGTTTGTGTATTTGTGTTGTGTCTTTAAAGCCTCAGATTAAACACAGAGCAGACGTGTATCTGTCACACATTTTGTTTGTGATCTCGGTCAATGAGTAGCAAGTGAAGAAATGTCCTCTGTGTGATGAAAAATGCATCAACCCAGCTCGCAGGGTGTGAAAGTGGAGGCAAAGAGTGACACTGAGCTCTGCTTCCAAACTGGCTTCTTTTTTCTTTCTCTCAAAGCGGAGCGCAGCACAGACAGAATCGACTCTATTCCAACTCTAAAATATTAAAAAACGAACATGTGCAGCTCTCTGCTGCCAAAACAGAAAAAAAAAAAAAAAAGAATCCCAGACTGCTGTGGGCTGAATCTCTTAATCTGTAATTCATTTTTGTTTGGAGGTGGATTCTCTCTTTGCTCGACGGTGTTTACGCGTCTAAAATAAATGACATCTCTCCTGTCCCCCCTCTGCGGCGGCGGCGGCGGCTGGCGGTGGTGAGTGTTTAAATAGCTGTCTATATGTCAGAGGAAATGTTTGAACTGGATCGCCGGCCCCTCTGTGGATCTCCTCCTCGATCTGCTCCTCTGACCACTTTTCATTCGAGCTGCTTCGGGGAACGCTGCTGCAGCTATTTTTGGAGAGGTAGTGGGAGGCTGTGGTCACACCTTTGTGCGGGATGCAGGTAAAGAGACACTTAAATGGAGTCTCTCTCTCTCTCTCTCTCTCTCTCTCTCTCTCTCTCTCCATTGTACTCATGATCTCGTTCTCCTTTATCTTCATGTTAAAACACAAAGAACAAACAGGTACACACCTTCACAAATGCATCTCCAGTGTGCATTATATATATCTGCTCGTGTGAATGTGTGTGTGTGTGTGTGTGTGTGTGTGTGTGTTTGTAGCAGAGAGAACACAGGGATGGAAAGAGCAATGCGGTAGCTATGGAGTCGTATCCATGGTGCCGTCGCTATGGCAACAAAGCTTGGAAAAAACGAGTGACTTAATTGGCATCTCCGAGGCGCTCTGGAGATGCGATTTCCAGAATAGCAACCCTTGACACACTAATGTTTCCTTCACATGCCAGACAACAGGCACGTCACTAATGAGGATGCTAACAAGCTAATCAATAATGTCTTAATGTTTCCTGCCCTTCAGGACGACGTGTGTGTGTGTGTGTGTGTGTGTGTGTGTGTGTGTGTGTGTGTGAAATGAAAGGACAGAAAACAGACTCACAGAGGAGGTGAAGATGATATAAAAAAGGACTTACAGTGTCCATTGCAGCTTCTGATTCTTGATTGAGTTGTAGAGCGCCTGCAGAGGAAAAAGAACATTTTCAGGTTGAGCTGTTAGTGATGTGATGAGGTATTACAGGTGCAGGTGTGTTGTTGTTTTTTTTATGTTAAAGCGGCAGTGTAAGCAAAACCAGCGTCATACTCAGAAAAAGATGCCATTCAACCGGCCCTCTCTGCCTGAGCTTAACTCGTTTTACTTTGACAAACGAGCCATTACCCTCGGAACAGCCGGCCCCCGTCAATGAAAAGACGAGCGGTTCGATCGGCATGTAAATAATTTAGGCTTCAGCGCCTAAACGCATCGACCCGCGTGAAGGAAAATTAAGTTACAGCTTTGGAAACATGAGCACAAAAAAATAAAGCAAAGAGTGCTGAATCAATCCGTCAATCCAAACAAACTTTAGTGTCAACGATTCTTCTGACTACTTCAACAGGAACGTCTGATCTGCATCATATTGCTTGTCTTCTTATTACTTTAAAGGTCCAGTCAGTAAGATATCTCCTGACTGAAATGATAAAGTGACCTTACTATCTGATCAGACATTAAGGAAACATGCTATGTTGAAGTGCTGGCTTCTCTGACAACAATGCAGCAGCCAGTATGTCCTCCTTCTAACTTTAGATTCTGCTCCTGAATGCTCTGGATTTGTTTGGTCCAGAGAAGGTAGGCGCTTTTAAAGAGAACATTTTCCACCTTCTCAAACAGTCCCTCTGTGGTCTACATGAAACATCTGTGCTGTGCTTTTATCAAAATATAACATGAATCAAGCACCAGAGGAGGTTTGTGACCCTGTATAAACCAGCTCTCTCAGAACGCTTCGTTTTGATGTGTGTGTCTCTTTAAATGCAATGAATGCAATTTTCTTTATACCAGAATATAGGATCAACATTGGAGATGCTTTTGAAAAATGGAGAGAGAAATCCTACTGAAATAAAGAAGGAGCGTGTTGTCTTTGTCCTGCATCCCGTTCCACGCTCCTCCAGTGGAGCAGCAGATAAATCATGCTACGCTACATTCATTATAAAATCAATAGAGAAACTGTTAATGGTTAAAACCACTGAGCGTACATGTCCCGTTTGCTAAAAGCCATCATGTTAAAAACCCGATCAGTCAAAGAAAAACTCCATTAGGAACATTTATAGCACCGCCATGTGCGGTGTACTACGACCAACGACATTGTGATAAAGATGGCGTGGGGGGAGGGAGGGGTCATGGTATTGATTTAGTTGAGATGCACTCTTTAAATTTGTTTCAAGTTTTTCCCCTTTTTATTCTGCAAATCTTCATGTTTTATCAAGCGGTAAATTCCTGTGATGAAAAAGAAAGCCAATGTGAGAGTGCAAAATCCAGCAGTTCCTCCAGTGTCCACTAGAGGCTGGCTGCAAGAGCCTCAGAAGCCACATACATATGTATTCTATTGCTGTTTTCATGCTATGTTGGTGCCATTTGTGCTCTGAAAGCCACTGTCACTCCTAATTTTAAAGGATTTATATGCGATTTATTTTGATCCAGCAGATGTCGCCCTTGAGCTCCAGCATGAAACCAAAACAACTTGCGCTGCATAGTTGTGTTAGCATGCTAATGCTAGCAATCTTTATTATGCTGGTATCTTCACACTGCATGTAAATTTACCTGAAATGAGCGTGATCTAGAAACACAGTTAAGCAGTGAGTACAGTATGTTATTCTTCTTTTCTCTAGACCCTCAATTAAACAACTTTTATACACGAGGGGAGGAGTCAGCCGGCCGTCCTGGCGATGTAAACAAACTGAAGATAGGACTCTGAAAACTCTGAAAACATCACAGACAGTGGGACTCGGGTGTTACACCCATTGTAGACAGTCATGACTCAGAGTTATTTTCAGAGGAGATACTTGATTTCTATTATATTTAAGTGTGAAAAATCACATAAAAAGACTTTAACATCTTTGAACCTGTTTCATATTCATGGGAAAAAAGACACTTTACCTTTAAATATCTCCTCAATCTATCTCCGCTGAAACCTGCAGCACTAAGGAGACTAAAAGGTGAGTTTTGTTGAGGAGTCCGTCTGCATCCTGTGCTCTAAAAACCTTCAGAGAAACATCTTCCTGAAGTCGATACATGTGTGTGCAGACACATCTTTTTATCTCCAACTTTCCCCCAGTGACCTAAACGTCACATCAGCCGGTGATGAGCAGGTGGAGGCAGGCCAGCATGAAGCCATCAGAGGGAGGCAGCTGATGGACGTCTGTGACGGCTGAGGTGATGGAGAGGACACTTAAAGGGCACTTCATCACCACCTCGCTCACCTCTGGATTCCTCGTAGACCGCCAACACTCGTCCTCAACCATGAACATAATTGCCACATGGGGGAAAAAAAAAACCCTCACACTCTGAAATCGATCGCTTTTTATTTCATTCCTTTGATGAAAGAACTTCTGCTAATGGTCTACAGCTGTTTCAGACTTCCAGCCTCATTTTGTCTTTTAGTCAAATGAAATTGCTTCAGTAATGGGCTTTGATTTTGTGCTCCACAATCAGGTTCATTTCCAGAGTTTTTCTTTGAAACCGCAGCTAATCTCAAACACTCGCAGAGAGTCATGAATATTTATGTCCCGTCAAAAAAAAAAAAAAAACCATTACACATTTAGCTCTGGTTTCCATACGCTCCACTGTAAGAATCTGTGTCTTAAACTAAAAGTGCTCATACATTTTAATAACCTCAGGCATACAGCTGAGCTCCACGGGACGGAGAGGGAGAGGAGGGGAAAATGTTGCTTCTGTTGCAGAATCAAATCTGGGCGGCATCAAATATTAACAGGGAGTTTGGACGCTGTGAAAGTTGACTTATCTGCAACAACAGTCAGCATCAAATTCTGTCTACAGACGTGCATCATGTTTTTGTTGTTCCTCAGGATTATTAAAACAAGCTTGACTCTCTTTACATTTGGTGCAGCGGTGAGGCATGGACCAAGGAGTAAAGTTTTATTTCTTTGGCTTTTCTGCCAAATACAGGACAGTGGACGGAGCCAAAGATCGAGGAGAGACAGAGAGAGCGGGGGATGACATGCGGGAGAGGAGCCACAGGTTGGATTTGAAACCGGGTCGAGTAGCTAATAAATAAAGGACTGTCCTGATTACAAACAAAGTTCATTGTGAAGAAACGTTGACTTGTTACCGTTCCTTTGAGCTGTTTGACTTTACTTTGGGATCCCTAACCACTTCCTGTTTCTGTGCTGAAGTTCATGTCCTAACCTTCCATCTAGCAGAAGCTCCTGACTTTATTTCAAAATAAAAGTACACAGCAAGCAAGTAAGTTACTCCCAGCTTTAGACGGTACAAAATTTCAAAATAAAAGCCTCACAATTTTTTATTTTAAAATGCAAAATAATGGAATTTCAAACTTAAAAATGCGATTAATCATGATTAACAATGGAAATTGAGAAATTAACCGTATTTAGATTTCCTAATCGTTTGACAGCCCTACATAAATTGTGTTGACATGTTTTAACTCTAGAAGTGATCACAGCTTCTACGAAGACGCCTCAACGAGTCATGAAAATATTGAAGAAAATTCAGACAGTTTTGGTAATATATCCTGACTACACAACGGTCTGGTAAAACATTAAATTCTGATTGGCTCTCCTGTCCTCTTTTCCTCTTATTCTTCACATTGGACACCTAATGAGTATCACAGCTAAATGTCTGTTCAATGTTCTACATTAATGCACAGCCGACATTGTATCAGAGGATATCTCAAATGTGTAACCATAGCAGCAGGGAGGCAATAAAATCCATTTTTCAAAATCACGCTGAAGAGTATGACAACTTTCATGCCGAGGAGAGAGAGAGGCGTAGAAGAGAGGAAAACATCATCTGGCCTGCTCTTTAATTCAGTCCATTAATTCTAGATAACGGACTCTTCATTATGCATTACCACGGTCTGGCAGAATCCTCCGTTCTGATTGGCTGCAGAGTCCATTTCTGATAATGCACACCTAAAGTCATTCAGGTAAATGTCTTTTGTTCACTAGTCCACATTAATGCTTCCACATTTAACAAACCCAAAGAGATGCTTAAAGCCCCCGCAGACAGAAAAGGACATGTGTCACTTATTTACAACACAATCAATTGTAGTCCTAAAATTAACCTGCTGCTTTCAGGACTACATCGCCCATTCTTTTCTGCTAATGGACACTGAGCGGCTGCATATCATCAGCCTGTATCTGAAATGATTAAACATCACAGAAACACAATCAATGCCTTAGACCCCCTTGTTCACTTAGTGTTTTTCCTAGCAGAAAAGAGGAGCGCTTGCATGAAGCGTTCACGTCCGTCCTGTCTCCATGACAACAGTCTGTTGACAATGGCCGCTGTATGACCGACACTGCTCTGTTACTTTTTACTGCATGTTTTATATTTGAGATTGTTTATTTCCCGATCATACACGGAGCAAAGAGGATGTGGGTACAAGAGATGATTTGTAGGACACAGAAATACCAAATATCAAACATTTGGAAAAGAGCGCGGGTGACATCAACAGCGCCTTTCTGAAAAGTTGAACTTTTTTCAACAGCCGCACAAAATAGGTGTTTGCCTGCTGCTGCTAACACTCTCTCCTCATTAAAAACAATTGGAAAAAATACACTGGAGTTTAGAAAAAAAACGCTAGTTGGACAGGGGGCATTATAGTTTCAATTATAGCTTGTAACTGGTTCAGCATCTTTACACGACCATGGGTGACTTTAACAGATCTTTTCCCCCCATTATGATGCCTTTAGAGAAGAAAAGGGGGTAATGTTTATTTTAAAGAACATAAAAAGTGGTGACCATGAAGTATATTGCTGCTCCGGCCTCTTACATCATCTGTTAATTCCAACAGGCAACATCAAAATGAAGTCAATGTGGAAGTACAAAAAACTGCAGTTCATCAAATGTCCACTTGAAGCTGCCTGCAAAATATTAAAATGTTTACAGCCTGCTACACTCAACGAGTTATTGTCTTTATCGGCACACGATGAACGAGGTGTTGTTGTTGTTGTTGTTGTTGTTGTTGTTGTTGTTGTTGTTGTTGTTGTATGTTACATGATTTTTGTTGAGTCCTTTCCTCACCTCAAATATTTCCAACAGTTATCAAAGACAGAGAAATCGTGAATTTCATAACTGTAACGGGATGTGTCTTTTGTTGCGGCCGCCATGCCAGACACCACATGTTTATCGTTGCCGTGGAAACACCGGATGTTACCTCAGAGACCGCTGCATGAGGAAGCGTGAGCTGCTACTGGAAGCTGCCGTACTGTTGCTATTTGTGCTGCTGTGATAAAAACGTCATGTAAATTATACTCTGATACATCAGCTCGTCTGTAAACACATTCTCTTCATCAGGTCGGTTTTGTTTGGTCGTCATGACTACGCTCATTTGGAGTTTGTTTTCATCGGTGGTAGCAGAGAGAATCACTCCCATGATTCCCCGCCAGCCTCGACATCATCTTTTTGTTATTGTTTTGATTGAGAGCCCCCTGGTGATTTACAAACTGATTTACAAACTGTGCCTTTAAAAGTTTATTTGAATCTCTTTGGAGAATACGTCAACTTCTACAAATGCTGCTGCACTCGTCTCTATGTTCACTAATTGAGCTCTATCCATTACACACACACATACAGTATATATACATGTTGTTCCTGCTGATTTGCATATCACAAAAGGCTGGGCGATTGGCCTTGGTGGATGCTTTGTGTGTCCTTGTTTGTAATAATTAAGATGCACACAGTCTGTTACAGTATAGGCGCTGTTATATACTGATTAATTCATCTGCACACAATGTTCTTGATTTTAACATTCGCTCTACAAAGTGTGTGAAGTTGTAGCAAAAGCTTTTTTTTAGTCCCCAACACAAAAAGTTATTTGACTTCTTTGAAGACAAAAGACAGAACTTGGAAATGTTTAGAATCTTTACTTAAAAATGTACTTTCTGGGATGCCAGTAGCTTAGAGGTTACTGCGAGAGCCACAAGTACGGAGGCTGTAGTCCTCAAAGCGGGCGGCCCAGGTTCAAATACGACCTGTGCATCCTTTCCTGCATGTTATTCCCTACTCTCTCTCTCCCTGATTTCTGACTCTATCCACTTCTCTACAATAAAGGCACAAAAAATACAATTAAAAAAAAAAGTCTTTGTTTTTTTTAAATTTGTAATTTGATTCACTCTGCTACAGGGACACTTTCAATGGAGATGGCTTCTCTTTGGAAGTTTTTATTGCATGTTATTAATGTCCAAGCATGCAGATATTTCTTTATCTCGCCTGAGTCAACAGAAGGGAGAACACTTTGTGAACAGCCGAGTTTACTGGCAGAAGAATATTTGTAGAGAAATAAACAACGCAGCCCCTTTTGTGTAAATCCTCTGGGAATACACCGTACCAACAACAGAGAGAGAGTGTGTGTGTGTGTGTGTGTGTGTGTGCTGATTAAAAGACTCAAGAAGGAGGTAAGTAAATAAAAAATAAAGGTAAACGGCTGCGAGCATCAGTCAGACTCATTCAGTCCTGGAGGCTCATTGAGACGAAGATGGATGTTGGTCACCTTCACCTACTTGCTTCATCAACGTCACCGAGTTGGCAGCAAATGAGAGCTGTTAGCCTTGAGCGCTGGCTTTACACACAATACTGAGCATAAGGTGTACGGACAATCAGGGGCCTGGCAGACGACCAAATCCCCTTCATCAAACGCTCGACGCTCCATATGTGAAGCTGAGACTGTAAATGGAGCTACAATACAAATATTGGAGTGTAATGGAGAAGTTAATGAACACACCAGGGACATCAAAATCCATCATAAACACTTTGTGATTAATTTGTCCAACTGGCTTTGAATGACACTGAGCTGTTTTCTAAATGTTGTGTGAGGATAGATGTCACCTTCTCTGACATGTTTCACACCGTTGTGATTTGATTCATCATGAGTTTGCAGCCACTTTTTAAGATGATGAATGACGTGTAAGAAAACAAGAAAACGGGTTCAGTACCTTCCTCCTCTTCCGGGCCTGCGGATGATTCTGTCCGTCCTGAGCTTTGCCCAGCAGGTCCGGGAACACGAGGGGTTTGAGCGAGCGGGAGCGCGGGGTTCTGGGATAGCGGAACGGGTCCATCATCCGGAAGTCTCTCCCGTAGCGCACGGTGCAGAGCGAGCGAGAGCGTAGGCGCCCCGCAGAGTGCAGGCTGTTAACACCGATCATGGTCGGAGGCGAGGCGAGGGCGCATGGATCAACACACACACACACAAAAAACAAAAAACTGGGGCTTCAAGTGCAAGAAACACAAAGAGACAAAAATACTGGAGGAGGATCCGTGCAAATGCAGATGATTCAGTTCTTCTTCTTCTTTCTGCTGCGGGAGAAAAAAGTTGATCCAAAAGAAGAAGAGTGAAATGAGGCTCGTCTGATGCGTCCAAGAGATCAGCTGGAAGTGAAGTCAGCTGTTACGGGAAGCAGCCGGCGATCAGCGGAGACGCAGAGGGAGGCGACACATCGTCAGGGCGGGCTGTCAGTGGACCGAGCTATCAGCAGGCATCAAACCCCCCCAACAGTCACAGCTCTGAACGTCTTGATCAACGCCCACCAGGCAACACGGGGTTGCCCACTTTACACTGAATTATTGATAAAGCAGCCCATGTATTAAACATTCTCCTTTCTGCTGCAAGTCGCCGAGAAGACAGGAGGACTATTTCTTCTTCTTCTGCAGGTCCAATAAATCCAGTTTGTTCCCCTCAGGAGAGTCTGTGAAGTTTAAATGGGAATAAAACTGAACAATAAGGAAGTTCAATGTGTAATATCTCCAGAAGAACGCCCCCCTCTCTCTCTCTCTCTCTCTCTCTCTCTCTCTCTCTCTCTCTCTCTCTGAGTGGTCTCAACAGGACACACCGCTCTGCCAAGTTACCCAAAGGTGACACCTGTCCAGATGCCACCTTTTAGCAAAGAGCCCCGTGATTACAGACACACACACACACACACACTCTCACAGATGGTATGAAAGACTTGCAGAGGTGTGAACGAACAGGCAGCATGAAACAGATGGGTGCGAAATGCGGAAATGAGGAGGTAGAAAAAAAGAAAAAGAAAGAAAGGCAAACAAAAAATTTTTTTTTGTGCTTATAAGACGTCAAAGATACACAAAAAAAGACACACACACAATAGAGGGAGATACAGAGGGGTGGGTGGGAGTTAGGGAGGGAGGGAGGGAGGGATGGTTGCCCTCGGACTTCGGAGCAAGGATTCCAAATGTAACAAAACAGAAAAATGTAGAAGAAGAAAATACAAAAAAAAACTAAAAAAACGAGGAGTGAATCTGAGATGCTGCTCAGAGAAAGGCGTCCTGTTGCTCCTGCTGTAAAATGGATCCCATCAGTTTGACAGTCAGGATTTTTACTCGCTCACTTCTTCTTTCCTCCACGTCTGTCAGTCCATGTGCGGCGGTCCGCTTGAATATTTGACTCCTTTTTTCCCTCCTCCTCATCTACGTGATGCCCTTCTTCTCCCAGCCTGGATTCTCCCTCTCTCACTCTCGGGTGTTTGAGGGGGTAAAAAAAAAAATTTAAAATCCCACTTTCCCCGCTCCTGATTGACTGATTTTTTAAAACCGCTCCTTGTCTTCATTCATGGACGCTCGGTTTTTATCAATCTGTTGCAATCTTTTCCCTTTGAATCCAGCAGCCTTTTTTTCCGTCTCCGTGGCGATGCTGCTGCGTTCGCTGCGGAGGAGGAGGAGGAGAGGAGGAGAGGAGGCGAGAGCTGGCTGCCTGAATCGCGGAGTGAACGAGAGGCTGATGGGGACAGCGCTCTTCCTCTCTCTCTCTCTCTCTCTCTCTCTCTGCCTCGCTCTCCCTTCACTTTCGTCAATGCGTAGCTCCCCCTTCCTCCCTCCTTCTCTCAGTCATTGCCAGCAAATCACAGCCTCCCAACTGCCTCCTCAGTGGAACACACACACACACACACACACACACACACACACACACACACACACACACACACACACACACACACACACACACAGGCACATTTTTTTTAATAAAAAATACTCGCAATGTAAATTAGTATTCTGCTGCTGTCTTTGGAGGAGCGACTGGGAGGTAAGAGGAGAGAGAAACATGCAAAGACTCAGCAGCACGGGGACGGTGTGAGGAGGTGTGTCCTCAAAAGTGTGTGTGTGTATTCATCAGCACTGCTGCTCCTGTTTGAAAGGAATAGTTCAACGATCTGCCGAATTAAACCCACTGGATTTCTATGAGGGAGAGTCACAGATCTGTGGTAGGAGAATCATTCAGAAGCGTCTGTTAAAATCCTCTTAATGATGAATCACTTTGACCTTTCACCCTACAGTTCCTGCTCAGGCCCTTATGACTTCTTTCTGTGTCTGCAGTAACACCTCACCTGCCTACAAACCTGCCTACCTGCATGCACTCATTGCACATGACTCGTGTTTTCTCATTCATGGTGACAAATTCAGACTGTTGCGATGTGTTTATTGTGAATGCTTGGATTAGGATGAATGCTCGTTGGTTTGCAAGGACAACGGCACACTGCATCCTCTGCACTATACGCCCTTTCCGCTAATAAAAGGAATAGAATAGAATAGAATAGATGTTTATTGCCATTTGCACAGGTACAGGACAGTACAGGTACATGGGAATTTTTGTGTGTTTCTCCCTGAGTCAGCTTCTACAAAAAAGTTAAAATTATATATAAAATAGAATTATAAGAACAAAAGAGTAGAAAAGTACAAATAAAAAAAAAAATAAGTTGTAGCAACAGGTAAGTGAATTAAAATAAACTGTACAGAAGCTATACACTGATTAAAGCTGAGGGGGGGAACACTGTACAATGAAATGAAAATATAAATATGTTTCTTGTCTCTACTTTCTACATCTTTTATTGCACCTCAGGTTATTGCCCACATATTCTTCACATTATATAATAACGTGCACATTCATGTTTTGGGCGAGTGGTGTATACATTTTTTCCAAGTTGGATTCGGCGCAAAATCAGGCCTAAAATCGTCTTAGTGTGTAGCCAGCATTGAGAAGTAGATTTTCTGCGTTCCTTTGTCCAAACACAAATGTGACTCTTTGACTAAATATTATTTTTTCCACTTCCCATCTGCACAGCTGTCCCAAGAGTCAGCCTCTAGTTGGACACTTTATTGACCTCAATTTTTTAAATTGCACCTTTAATGTTTGCACTGACTGTTATTTAATGTATGTTTTTTGATAATTTTATTCTTTTTAAACATTGCTAAAAAAATGTGTTTCATCTAGGGGTTTTCTTAAAATCTTTTTTTCAGGTTAATATATGTATGGGAGGGGGGAGGGGGGGCGTCGGTTTTGTGGTTTAATTTGTAACAAATGTTTCATGGCATGTACGTCTTAGTAACCTGCTACTGGATGCTTTTGAATTTCCCTCGGGATCAATAAAGTATCTATTTATCTATCTAAATAAAACAAACTGAGCTGGAAGATGCTAAAGTGCATCATATTTTTCTCAGGTGTTGAAAGGCTAGAGGTGTAACAAAGTGAAGGTTTTATTCTAGTACATATGTGTGCTGAATTCTCTAAAGAAAAATCTTGTTAATTAAGAGTATTTAGGTCGACCTGAGGAAGCAGAGAAGGCAAAACAAATACATATAAAGAAATGGTCAGTCTTCTTGTTTGCTTCTGTAGGTCAACATGAAAAATCAATAATAACTGTGCCTGCTTCACGTGTTATAAACTCCAGCAGAGTACATGTAAACACTTAAAAAAACAGTAATATGTCTACACACGACCCTCCGTTTATCACAGCACACATTACAGATCTATGACTCCTTCAAATCCTTTGCAGTAAATCCAGAAAAACAAACACTGTACAGTTTACGATGAGTAGAGAGGAAACAGAGAGATTGAGTCTGACAGAGACCTTTGCTTTAAAAGATAAACGAATGGGTCCCCACCCCCAAAGAGAAATTGACCAAATAGAATTATTGACTTCCCAGTGAGTGAATGTGGAGCTGCAGGAGTGTGACAGGAGATTTAATGACTGTGTCAGTCTGAGACGACAGACATCGATTACATTGTTTTTTCAGTGATCTATATTCTGAAGGAAGCAGAGCATTCAGCGCTCAGTTTCACACTGTTATCCTACATTTATATTAAGAGGACTTAAGTAGGGCCGCTGGTAGCCTAGTGGTTAGTGCGCACGCCCCCGTGTATGGAGGGCAAGGTCCTCCGACATGTGTCTAGGGTTCCAATCTGACCTATGACCCCTTTCCCGCATGTCATTCCCCACTCTCCACTCCACGATTTCTGAGTCTATCCACTGTCCTAGTTCTCAAATGAAGGCATAAAAAGCCCCAAAATAAACCTTTAAAAACAAAAGAAATCCTCTTCACCATGTTCCTCTAACTCTAACATGTGTCTCTAGTCTACAAACCCCCCAATGATGAGAAAAGTCCATATTCTCCGTCTTTCACCTGCTCCACTTTTCAGAAAATGTTTGCTCAAACGTTTTGGAGGTTTTCCCTTCATGACATCACAAAGGGCAGTAGCCCCTCCCCCAGGTGGGTGACATTCCCACAGCTAGGTGTTTGTTCTGAACCTCTGAGTCTGCCTTCTCACCGTAAACAATAGGACATGGAGAGAGAAAGCACAGAGTACACCCAAGCCCTTCCAGAGACACAGCTCATTTACATATTTAAAGGTCCAGACACAGAAACAGCCTGTTCTGAGCAGGGCTGAAATAGAGGAGTTTATAGGCATGATCAAATACAGGATCAGAGTGGATTTAGAACAAGAAACTTCACACACATGTTTTGAGGAGCTCTGAGACTTATTTAAACTTTTAGAAAAGGAGTATGATATGTCACCTTTAAGAGCATGCGTAGGGAAGTGCTAAAGATTATTTCCACTGTTCAAAAAAAGGTATGATTAAGCTATTGTCAGACTTTGAATTTGTGAGAAACTGTCCTCATTGACACAAACTGGAGCAACAAAGAAACAATGGCACTGGAGCCGAAGAGGCCGTCTGTTCACCTCCGCAGCCTCAAGGTCCTCATTTTATTATCTGTTAAATAATGATGATTGAGAAAATGATTGGCTGTTTTCTGCCTTTTTCTATTTAAATTCAAAGTTTCTTGTCAATGTTTATTCAGCTGTTTTCAGATTGCTGTGTTCATTCTGGGAAACGAGATTAATCAGAGGAAATTCCTTCAAAATGGGCAACAACGTCCGATCGACTCAAAGATGACCTCATTAATGGTCACTTTGATCTCTCAAAACATGTTTTTGTCCACTCTTCAAGAATTCATAAAGCTACTCAGGACAGGATTTCACACAGATCTGAGGCCTGTAGTTCGTCAGCTCTGGTCTGAATCATGGACCTATTTATTACATGGTTACATCATTAATATAAGTTTGTGATGTGCGAGGGAGATGCTCCCTAATTAGTCGGAATTTCTTGCAATCAAAAATCCCGGATGTAAACAAAGACTAGCTGACTCCTGTCTTGCTGCGGCTGCTCTGAAGACACTTTACAATTACTCACAACAGACTTAAGATGTGAGGCCTCTTTTAGTCCACATCCTGGGCTTCCTGTACCTGCATGAGATGCTACCACTTGAGTTTTTTAATATCTTAGAGAAAGTCCAATCATTCTCACTCTCTGTTGCATTTTGTCTGTGATGATTTCAGAGTTTTCAGAGTCCTATCTTCAGTTTGTTTACATCGCCCGGACAGCCGGCTGACTCCTCCCCTCGTGTATAAAAGTTGTTTAATTGAGGGACTAGAGAAAAGAAGAATAACATACTGTACTCACTGCTTAACTGTGTTTCTAGATCACGCTCATTTCAGGTAAATTTACATGCAGTGTGAAGATACCAGCAGAATAAAGATCGCTAGCATTAGCATGCTAACACAACAATGCAGCGCTAGTTGTTTTGGTTTCATGCTGGTGCTCAAGGGCGACATCTGCTGGATCAAAAAAATCGCATATAAAGCCTTTAAGACTCTTGTGTTTATAATGTTGGTGCAAACTCTCCTGCGTGATGTGGGCCGATTAAATGTAATCATTTTGAATATTTAAATAAATAATTTTTCCCAGCTAAAGTTACACCGTCATTTTGTTCACCTGTAACCTTCCGCTCTGATGGTTGGCTGAGGCTTTAAACTGAGCGGTGTTGATTCCAGTTTAATA